TGACTATGAAATTCCTAGACCAGTGTGTAAATGGTACTAGGCCTGCAATCATTTAGTTTTGTTTGTTTCACTTCTTTCTAGCGTGGGCCTCCTACATGACCAACTCTCCAACTCTCATTGTTATGATTGGCTTGCCAGCCCGGGGTAAAACCTATGTGTCCAAGAAACTAACCCGCTATCTCAACTGGATTGGGGTGCCCACCAAAGGTAGGCATGAGTCACTCCTTGGGAAGAGAAAGATTAGTTCCTGGGCCCCACAGGCCTCTGGGAGACTTATTCTCTCTGACGTCAAGGTTATAGGATGCTTCTGGCAGAAATAGTGGTTGCTTCCTTAATTACTGGATTTTTTTCTCTGTCCCAGACTTGTATCTTCCTTGGCTGGACAGATTGACCTAGGTTTGAGGGAATGCCTTTGATAGGAGTATTAAGAATTAAGTGAGAATAGGGCTTTATATTTCAAAACTTTTGCACATGTGTGGTGTTATCTAACCCTAGCAGTAACCTGGTGTAATAGAGTGACTGAGGAAATTGCCACTCAGACAGCCTAAGACTTGTTCATGGTCTCCTAAGTCAGGACTTGAATCTAGGTACTCTACCACTTGAGCCAGAGCCCTGTTTTTTTTTGCATTTTAGTATGTTTTTCAAATAAGGTCTTTGCCTTAACTTTGCCCAGGCTGGCCTCAAACCAGGATCCTCTTCCTTCCACTTCATTAGTAGCTGGATTGCAGGCATCCACACCACTCACAGCCCCCTTTTGACTCTTAATCTGGTATCGTTCTCAACATTCCATAGTGGTTTTTCATCCCTTTGGTCATTCTGACATTAGGCCATGAAATCCCCTTTGGTGGGGCTACCGTTGTTTTACTGTTGATGGATTTGGGTATCTTCTGCAGTGTTTAATCTTGGAGTGTATCGCCGTGAAGCAGTGAAGTCCTATAAATCCTATGACTTCTTTCGGCATGATAACAAGGAGGCCATGCAGATCCGCAAGTGAGTATTTTTTAAGGCCTGACCTTTAGGTCAACGCTGTGATAAGGCTTTGTTTTCCTTAATAAACATCGTGTGGGAATTTTAGGTGGAAATTTTCTGACTGGTGGATCACCCTGGGCTTGAGGGGATAGGAGAACAGGGCTGGGGAAATGCTTGTTTGTTTGTAGGCTAAGCCTGAAAATTCACTGGGCGGGGAGGGAGATATAGGATGGTATAAAAACCTCAATAGGAAAGTTGAAAGATGTGGTTGGGGAAACCTTTTGACCAGTGGGAAGAGAAGTGACACTTTGTTGGAGTTTAACTCTTCTCATGCATTTCCTTTGCTCTCCCCGTAGACAGTGTGCTCTGGTAGCACTGGAGGATGTTAAGGCCTACCTCACTGAGGAGAATGGGCAGATTGCAGTAAGTCTTGTCTGCTTCTCCTTCTTGGTCTCAACTCTTTTAGCATCCTGGTTGCTCAGCCCTCCCTTGGGTCTGCCTTGGTGGGGTTCTGTTTCTCTTTTCCCAGTCATTTACCTTGTGTGCTTTCTGCTTAGGTGTTTGATGCTACCAATACGACCCGGGAAAGGAGGGACATGATTTTGGACTTTGCCAAGCAGAATTCCTTCAAGGTAGGATCTGACTTCATGTTGGAGGAAAAAGGGATAAGTGGAGATGGGAAATTAGAAAGTGGGGGGGTGCAGATCTATTTGAATCTGGTAAGAATCTGCTAAGTATTGGATATCTGATTCTCTTCTCTTGGGGCATACCCCCAATACTTGAATATGTACTTTTAGGTCCTTTCTCCAAATTTTGCTTGTATGTTAAGGCCCAGGAGACATGGTGAGAGGTATTTTTAAATGAGGAGGTCTTGAAGGCTACTTTCATGAAGAAAATCCTGGGTGATGTGGTTGCTGGGTTGGGTAGATAAGCATGTTTTCTTAATTACCAGCCTGGCATGACTGACTTGTTTATTACTCCTTTCTCTCCATGGCCAGGTATTCTTTGTGGAATCTGTCTGTGATGATCCTGATGTCATTGCTGCCAATATCCTGGTGGGTGATGGCCCTCCCTATCACCTTTGTGCCCTCTGTATGTGTGTGTGTGCCTGTATGGAGAGGCATCTGAGTAATGGAAGAAAGAAACAGAAACAGACATGCTTAACATCACAGAGACGTCTTTTCTATCTAACAGAGCTCTAATCTATACTTTCCCCACACTTCCTTTGGGAGAAGAAACTGAGGCTTTGGAGAATAAAGTAAGAATTAGGCTGGGACTGTGGGAGTTCTAGCTTTTTGTTTGGTATTATCTGGATGCCAAGACCTGGATACCTTATAGGAAGGTCATCTGCCCAGTAATTGTTCAATAAACCAGTCAGCATCCTATGTATTGAGCTCTTCATGCCCTGCATAAGACAGTCCCCATCCAATTAGTTGTGTTGTTCTGTGTTAAGTAGACACTTGCACATGGTCTCCCGGTGGTACCCTTGCAGCAGTGTAGGAGCTGGGGTCATCTGAGGAAGAGGCACTGGGTCTCAGTCAGGTGATGGAGAAAATTGGAGCCCATTCTGTTCTCCTAGGAAACTACATAAAGGGATTGGGCCCAGAAGCAGTGTCAGCTGCGTGACTGCCTCTGTCTTTCAGCCAAGGGCAGGCACATGACTCCCCAGTTGTCTTTCACTTCTTGGTTGCCAGGGTCACAGGATGGGATGGGAGCAGGGGGTGCTCAATGAAGGGGAATGCCAATGCTCTAGTGAAAGATTACTTTTATGGACTTTTTTTTTTTTTAAGCAGTGGCTATTGGTAGGAGAACTATTAAGGGCAGACCTCTGACCAGGCTGTAAATATTCCTGTGATTTTAGGAGGTAAAGGTGTCAAGTCCTGACTACCCTGAAAGAAACAGAGAGAATGTGATGGAGGACTTCCTCAAGAGAATTGAGTGCTATAAAGTCACCTACCGACCCCTTGACCCAGACAACTATGACAAGTAAGGTTTAAGGAAGTAAGGTTTACTAATCTTTTTTTCAGTACTGGGATTTGAACTCAGGGTCTCACGCTTGCTAGGCAGGCACTCTACCACTTTTTATGGACTTTTTTTTTTTTAAGCAGTGGCTATTGGTAGGAGAACTATAAGGGCAGACTCTGACAGGCTGTAAATTTCCTGTGTTTTAGGAGGTAAGGTGTAAGTCCTGACTACCTGAAAGAACAGAGAGGTGATGGAGGACTTCTCAAGAGATGAGGTGCTATAAAGTCACCTACCGACCCTTGCCAGACAACTATGACAAGTAAGGTTTAAGGAAGTAAGGTTTACTAATCTTTTTTTCAGTACTGGGATTTGAACTCAGGGTCTCACGCTTGCTAGGCAGGCACTCTACCACTTGAGCCACTCCACCCTAGGAAATAAGCTTTAAGGAGGTTTGGAGGGGCTGAGGCAGGGCTCTCATCTGGGAAAAGAGTCCTTTTCCTTCCACCCCCTAACTTCCTTCTGGTAATCTAGAACCTTACTGTTTATATTACTCCAAAGAAACATGGCATAGATTTGTGGCTTTTGGGGGCACTGCATCTTGTACTTAAATACTGAAACTTTTTTGATCATGTTTTTCTTCCCTGTTCTCTAGAGAATTTCCCATCTTAGCAAAATGTCAAAGACAGTGTGCGCATGGAAACCTGTGAAAATGTGACCTTATGAAAGAGTGTGTGTTCAGGGCAGTTAACAGCTCTGCTCAAATAAGGTACAACCCTGCAGCTAAGCTAACAGCGAGACCAGCGTGCATGGCACACTGTTAAACTGCTGCACTGGTCTGTTTAATGTTTTGAACCTTTGTTTTGCCAAATGGGTTGCCCAGAGTGCTAGTATTTGCAAGTGTTTTCTTAATACATGGTTGAAAACCATTGCCTGAGATGTGGCAGAACAAGATCTTCTTTAATTAGCTCTAAGTTCTACATAGCAGAACATTTTAGAAGAAAATATATATTTATGGTACAGGGGTACAGGGTTTGAACTCAGGACTTCACACTTGCAAGGCAGGCACTCTACTTGAGCCATACCTCCAGCCATTTTTGCTCTGGTTGTCTTGGAGCTCACCAGCCTGAACTGTGATCCTCCTAGTTTATGCCTCTTGCTGTCGCTAAGATGACAGGTCCGTGCTACCACACTCATCTATTGGTTGAGAAGGGGGTCTTGCTAACTTTTTGCTCAGGCTGGCCTTAAACTGCAATCCTCCCTATCTCAGCTTCCCAGTAGCTTGGATTACAGGTGTGAGCCACTGGTACCTGGCTTCTAGAAGAATATTTCTATATATGAGTATATGTGTTCATAGGTATTTATCTCTGGTTGTAGGGTGATGGATGATTTGCCTAGTTCTACGTTTGTTCTAAATTTTTTCTTTTGGAATAAGCCTTTAGTACTTTTATATTGAGAAAAATCCATAGTGGCCACCAAGCAAGTAGTTTCCAGAATTGTTCTGAAAGATCCTGGGTTAAATAGGTGTAAGGTACAAGTAGCTTCTCTGCCTATGCTTCCGATGCCTCCTCCCTCACCTCATTGCTAGTTTTGCCATATTCTGACCAGGTTTTAATGGCTCCATAAGGAGTTTACAATTCTCACCAAATTTTGGGCATAGCAAAATCTTCATGCCATTCAGTCTGGCCCCTGATGGGAAGCCTGAGTTTTGTCTACTGTATTTACCTACATTGCATGGCACAGGGGCGCTAGAAAATAGTACAGGCTGCTTAGAAGCTCAGGAAATTGTACTTCATCTTGGTTTTGAGGAGTCATCCATCTCTTACCATGTGGTTCCATAAACATGGAAAGGATGGGAGGGGAGGAAGAGCTACCAGTGGTCTATAAATATCTATAACAATCCTTCCTGTAGCCCACTGTTATCCTCAGACTTCTTACCCTGGGACTGTTTTCCTTCTTTGCCCCAGGGATCTTTCTTTTATCAAGGTGATGAATGTGGGCCAGCGATTTTTGGTCAACAGAGTCCAGGACTACATCCAGAGCAAGATAGTGTACTACCTCATGAATATCCACGTCCAGCCTCGTACAATTTACCTCTGCCGACACGGGGAGAGTGAATTCAATCTCCTAGGGAAGATTGGGGGTGACTCGGGCCTCTCTGTGCGGGGAAAACAGGTGCGTAATCAGCCAGCAGGGTGGATGTCCTAGGCTTAGAGTTAGAAGGGCATGCTGGAGGTCATCTGTCTTATCCCCTTCTTCTTAAGGGCTTAGGCAGTTGTTTCAGATAGTTAAGCAAGTCCAGAAGGTGTTCTCTTGCTCATTGCTCCTACCTCTGTATTAAAGCCATTTCTGCTCTGATCATCTAGCCGTTAGGCAATTATTGGGTGTTATTGGGCACCTATGTTCTTAGGTGCTCCAAGGTGCTTCAGTTAAAGTTCATTTCCTCTTGGGTTATTTTGATCATGGCTGGACAAACTCCCATTATACATAGAGTTAGGTGTGTTCGTGTGTCTTTTTTAAACTTTTATTTTTAAACTCCAGTTTGCCCAAGCTCTAAGGAAGTTTCTGGAGGAACAGGAGATACAAGACCTCAAGGTGTGGACAAGCCAGTTGAAGAGGACTATCCAGACTGCTGAATCTCTTGGGGTGACCTACGAGCAGTGGAAGATTCTGAATGAAATTGATGCTGTGAGTAGGAACTCTGATTCAGGCAGAAAACTCTTATAAGTTATGATTTGAGTAGTTTTATCCAGAAAACCAGAACCATCAAGTAGAAATGTGGAGAAATCTGCATCTGTGGTCTTTTTCGGTATTGGGGGAGAAAGTGGAGACAATTGTAGCCCCAATCAGAGCTTCCTGACTGCTCTAATATCTACACCAATGGTGGGACCCAAACCAGTTTTTGACCCAGCCACTCTGATACCTGGGGAGAGTGGGGCTAACAAGGACTCCTTTTGTCCCTTGTATATTTACTTCCTGGGAAAAAAGAAATAGCTAACAATGCAGTTCACTAATTTCTGCTTAGATCATCTGACTAGCTATTCTAGAAGAGTCCTCAAAATTTCTCTTGGCTTTATCTATCCCTAAGTATAAAATTTTGTGAATATTTCATTTTCCCTTCCTCCTACTCTTTCATTCCTCCTGCAAGATCTCCAGTTCCCTCGGTTTCCTTCCCTCCCTGCTTCCCACTTCTTTTGTCCTGTTGACTGTTCTTGATTTTTAAGTTCCCCCCAGTAATAGGAGACAGTGGCAGCTTAAGGTATAGAAACTGCCTCCTCTCTGCAGTGACTCCTACCCTGCAACACCCTGGTCACAACCAGTCCCAGTACCCAGCACAGGACCTGGCACGTAGTGGGAATTAGTGTTCTTCATTGCCATCTTCCTCATTTGGGATGGAAAGGGTGTGGGCCAGTCTGCCCCCTCACATCTGTGTGGCTCCTTGCAGGGCGTGTGTGAGGAGATGACGTATGCAGAGATTGAAAAGCGGTACCCAGAGGAATTTGCACTTCGAGATCAAGAGAAGTATCTGTATCGATATCCTGGTGGGGAGGTGAGACTCCCTTCATGTGGACTAACTGCCCAGTCCTCTGCTGGGGTTGAGCTTTAATTTGGGGAAAGGATTGAATGTGATCTTGGTGGGAGGGAGTACAGAAAGGTGGTTTAGGCATCATTTATCTTCCTACCTTTAGGTCATACTGTGTTTAATTCAGTTTGGGCAGTCAGATGCCTCATTAATTTGTTAAGCTTTCTAGGGAATAAGGTGACGAGATGTCCTCTGTGTTCAGAAGGTTGTAGACTCGATATGGTTTTTTTGTTTTTTTTTTCACTCTATTTCCCCAATCCCACCCCCATTCAAGCCAATAGAGTCAATAGAAAGTACATGGGACATGAATTACTTTCCCATCATCATCAGTGTTTTGGGCTGTTTTCTCATCTAAGTGGCTTCTGTATAATGTATAATGCAGAAATAAATAAAATAGAATGACAGAGCTGGGTGCCGGTGGCTCACACCTGCAATCCTAGCTACTCAAGAGGCAGAGGTCGGGGGTTCAAGGTTCAAAACCAGCCTGGGAAAATAGTTCCATGAGACCCTATCTCGAAAAAACCCATCACAAAAAAGGGTTGGTGGAGTGGCTTAAGGTGTAGGCCCTGAGTTCAAACCCCACCAAAAAGAAAATATATAGACTGGCAGAGATTGAAGGAAACTTCTAGGGTCTCTCATTACCTTACACACTACCTATTCATCTGTGGGAAGAAAAGCAAAATAACCCAAAAACACAAATTGAATTCAAATTTCCTTTTCTTGACTTGTGGTTTTCTTTGTCTAAATATTGCTCTTGAAAGATGCTAGTATTCTTAAGACATTGGGAAGGGGGTTGGCTAGGCAACATGGAGCTGAGCCTCCAGGAGGAAAGCCAGCTAGGGAAGAAGTGGCCTCTTGACTCTGGGACTCAGCCACTGACTTGGCTGCCAGTTTGCATCTGGCCTCCTACCAGTCTATCCCACTTCACCCCACAGTCATACCAGGACCTGGTACAGAGGCTGGAGCCTGTCATCATGGAGCTGGAACGTCAGGGCAATGTTCTCGTCATCTGCCACCAGGCTGTCATGCGCTGTCTCCTTGCCTACTTCTTGGATAAGGGTGCAGGTGCTATTTGAGGGAAGGGTGGGGTAGGGGGTGGGAATATATTTGTGGGGAGAAGGCTAGACTCACAGTAGAACCAGGATTCCTGGCTACCAGACCTCCCTCCTTCCACTCAAATTAGAGTACATTCTTCAGGCAGCAGAGTAGGGCTCCTAGCAGCCATCTATCAACTACTTGCTGACTTTACTCTGCTGCTACAAAAGCCCCCCGTGGAGGGTAGTTGCTCTGGCACTGCTTGATCCTGCCTAGCTAAAGGGCCAGTGTTGAGCTGACACTCTGGAAGCATCAGGAGAGTGGCTGAATAGCCCCAGCTTGTCACTCTGGCTGCCTAGAGGAGGTATCTATTGGGTTGGAGGTAGAGCAACCATTTCTGGAAAGACCAGTAAGGAAATGCCGCTGCCCTTCTCTGGTCCTTCCCTTCCCCACTCCCTGAGTACCTAGAAGTCTGCAGAATGGTCTTTGATTACCAGGTGGGCCATAGTCTTCCCTCTCAGGGGGCCCTTGGCTATAGCATTTGCTTCTGTTTTGCTTGTACAGAAGGATTGAGAATGGCCCTATTTCCTTCTTTATTACTCAGTAGCTTGGGTGACTTCTTTGACCTTGATAATTGTCTGGGGCTGAGGGAAGGAGCTGTTCAACTTTAGGTGGTAGTCAGGGTAAAGAAAATTCATGAGCTCCTTTATTCTCTCTTTTACTCACTTGATCTTGCTCCATAGTCCTAAGAGACTTCCCTCACTTGCTCTCTCTGCTTTCAGATGAACTGCCATACTTGAGGTGTCCACTCCATACCATCTTCAAACTTACTCCTGTGGCTTATGGTAACTATGAGTTGAGGGGCTGGCAGAGGTGGGGATTGAGAAGGTAGGATATCTGAGTTATCTCTGAAGGTCATCTGGAAGTTTGACTTCTATTTCTAAAGGGATGTGCTTATATGAGTGTATGTAGAAGTACATACATGCATTGATGATGTGCTTTCCCACACTGAAACTAAGCAATTTTCCTTTGATTCTTTTCCTGAAGGCTTTTCTTCTGTTTTCTTAGGGTGCAAAGTAGAAACAATTACACTCAACGTGGAGGCTGTGAACACTCACCGTGACAAGCCAACTGTAAGTATTGTTCCATGGACACAGGTGCCAGGTTTCCGCCATCTTGAGCCTTTGAATCTTTGGCATCAAGACACTGAGGTTTCTTTTATGTACCAAAGGAAGAGAGATTCAGAACTCATGCCTATGTAGTCTGCTTATATCCAAAAGGAAAAGATGTGGAAACTATTAAAATTTTCAATGAGTACCTCTTTCATGAATCTTGGCCTTGAAAGTTGGCTCCTGGAAATTTAGTTAAACATGAAAAGTGTTTGCCTGGAGTGAAATACAAATCCCTCTTAGTCCCTCTGGGAAGCCCTCCCTTTAGAAATCAGGGTCTAGACTAGGAGCCTACCAGGTGAGGTCAGTAGGTTTATGGTGGTTCCTCCATCTGTCCCTGGTAATCTGTTTGGTCTTAAGTAAAGCCCTTCTTTGTTGGGCCCTTTTCCTGTTCTGGAACGTGATGCTCAGGGAGCTGCTCCCATTATGATCCTTACAGTCCTTAGGGCTGTGAGACTAGACCACATCCTGTGTAAGGCCCGCTGTGCAAAGGAGCAGGAGGAAGGAAGCTGCTGTGTTTACAAGCATTGTTTGACCTTTATGGGTGAGCTGTTGGCATGGCTTTCATTTGTGTGGTGTCCCTCCATTTCCAATCAGAACAACTTTCCCAAGAACCAAACCCCTGTAAGGATGAGAAGGAACAGCTTTACGCCTCTGTCCAGTTCGAATACAATCAGGCGTCCAAGAAATTACAGTGTTGGGAGCCGGCCCCTCAAGCCCCTCAGCCCTCTCCATGCCCTGGACATGCAAGAAGGGGCCAACCAGCCGAAGACCCAAGTCAGCATTCCGGTGGTGTAACCGTGTGTTTCTCTCCAGCCCTTGTCACTAATCAGCAGGGAGTCACTTAACTTCCACCCCTATCCCTACCTTTGGCACCTCACCATAAATGTTAACACAGAATATAAAACTAAATTTAGCCATTCTCCAACTTGAAACATCTCCTTACCCAGGGGCAAGATGGAAAGTTGGGTCTTTTAAGACAGGTTCCCAGATGGGATGGTCTGAAGGAGGAGGAAAAGAGTATGTACTCCCTGGGGCTACGCATGCCTCATGTACTTGGTTCTTCTCTCTGTTCCCTGTCACCTAAACTGACTAATGTCCTTGTGTTGATTAAGTGGAGGGATGGTGTTAAATGGAGAGAGACAAAACCCCTTTGTTTCTTGTCTCTTTAATGTGTCTTTTACTCACAATACTTACTTGACTTCCCCTCTTCCATTTCCACTTTGGATTGCCCAGTGTAATGCATGGCATTGTGGTGGCTTTGGAAGGAAGGGCGGTTGGTGCGGAAGAAGTCTGGGCTCCGTTGATTCTGTCTTCAGTGGGTCTACATGGATCTGCACTGGGGTAGTCTTTCCTTTCCTTTCTCCCCTCCTCTCCAGCCAGGTCCTGCAAGGGTCAGCCCAGGCTATAGAACATCCACAGAATGCTCTGGAGCTTGCAAATGGACATAGGGTGAGAGCTCTTGCCTCTTTTCATGACAAACAATTCATGGCCTAGGGGAGCTGGCTCTGAGGATGTGGGAAATGTCTTGGCTTGTGTTTCTACCTTGAAGATGTGGTCTTTTGCTGACTATGGAGTGGGGTTCCAGTGAGTAAGAGAGTGGGCAATCCTTTAGTGCTTGCAGGCTTTCAGTTCAGTCCAGACTTTTTTCCTGTGACTTTCAAGTTCTTTACCAGTCATAGCAACTTTCCTACAATAGCCAGTGACCTCTGGGGCTGTTTAAAAGGATGATGCTACATTCAGGAGTCACCACTCATGTCTGGATTGCTAGAGACAGTTCACTAAAGCTGCTCATTATTTTCTAGTAATTTCCAGAACACTGTCCTAAAGTAAATTTTTTTTTCACATGTGCATTTTTTCCTCAAATGTTAGAAAAGCTTTGATGATGAATTCAATCTCTTTTATTGGGGTATTTTGTTTTTAAGAAGAAACTATTTCATGTAAATGTCCTGAAGTGTCCCTTGGAGGTCTAGCTCTTGAGTGTTTATATTTACCTATCATTTCTGTCGTCCCATTTTCTTCCTAAGGTAAGACAAGTCTTGTTTAAAGAAAGGATTATTAGCCCCTTGGTGGTCTATGATTGCTTAACCTCTCTCCCAACTTTGCACATAAAATAAATGATTGTGCATACATTAAGAATTCATGTGAGCAAGTGTTGTGGTTTTTTTTTTTTTTTTTTGGCAGTACTGGAGTTTGAACTCAGGACCTCATGCTTGCTGGCGAGGTACTCTGCCACTTGCCACTTGAGCCACTCTGCCTTGTTTTGTGATGGAAAACCTTTACCATTACTCTTATTAGAAACATTCCTTAGAATCCCCTTTTGAACTTGTGAAGCATATACATGCCTGGATTCACCTGAATCAGACTGGGTACTGACTCAGAATTCTGGAGTTAAAGTCTGGACATGTGTGTGTTTCCCTAATATTCTGATTCATACCCCAGCTTAAGAACTCTACTTTATGAAGCTGCATGGGAAAATACCAGGATAGTAGTTTCTTACATAAGTATCAGCCTTGGAATTCTTAATTCCTCTTTGTTCTGAGGACAGTTCTTTGGAGTTAGATATTGGAGCAGATTACAATATTCAGTGAAATAACCCCCTCATAGGCAGGCTGCTGTGCTTTAGAAGGTTATTCTAAATTCTAGTCTATCTTACCCTTCACATTGCAGGGGGTTATAGAACAAATTACTAAGTTAAATAAGTGTTCTTGGGTAAAAGCTGGGGATTTTAAGCACATTGGAGAGAGGTGCTGAGGTAAAACCCATAGGATGAGGAAGGTGGTCGTTGTGGGTAGCTGACTCCTGGCCTTGAGCCCTTACTATTGAAATTCCTTATAGAATCCTCAGTCAGTTTCCAATGTTGGGAAACTTTTGAGATTGTGTCCAAGCCATAAAGTAACCTGCTATTCCTGATAACCAGTTGCACAATGTCTTTAGTGTCTTTGTTTGTGGGGTTTTGGAATGGGTAGGGGCAGGACACCCAGAAGAAGAAGAAATCTTTTCCCTGAATAATGTTGCTTTGAAATAGGCTATGTAACTTATGACAAATGAACATTTGCAAAAGAACAACACACTGAATCTAGTAGTGCTGACTTTGCCTCTGTTGTAAGAATAATTCAGAATGAATGAGAAAAGAGAGAACTTTGACCCAAAGACTGAGATTTTAGGCTGTATCTCATCTAAGCAAAGGAGACTTTTATGACCAACTAGCATTGAGTTAGCCTGTTATAAACACTGTTGTTAGAGACAAGTCACTGGACATGTATTCTGGCTCTCAGACTGCCCATTACTGTTCTAGTCTCCCCTTGTGCTGATTTGCTTCCTCTGGAAGAGGACTGAGATGGTCTTTTTAGATAGGACAGGAGAAGTTGTAATTTGAAAGCAACAAAATTTCAACATCCTTCAATTTTTAGAACAAGATCCCTTCAGAGATGTTCAGGAGAAAGAAGCCAGGAGGATATAGAACAGAATAGAACTCATTCCAATTTTTAGGCAAGTATTACTTGCCATCTTTTCTGCCCTTCTCTCCTGTCGTTAACTTGAAAGCATTTTGGTGGTAGATACACATTTCTCTTCTTGGGTTCATATCACAAGTCCTACAAACAAAGAATGGCCTCCAGAGTACTCTTTGCTAGGCTTTGGATTTTGTTATAGGGGGGAATTGATGAAGACTTTGGCATTTGATCTAGTGTAAAATGAGGAAAAGAAAGTCGTAATATATTGTTTTCTTTTGCTTGCTTCAAAGGCAAATGAGGAAGTCTGTAAATATATTTGTAAGAGGAATCTAAAGCAGATTTAGGGAACCCATTTTTGTGCTTATCTCCTGATTTCCAAATTGGAATTTACCTTTCTCTGATTATCAGCATTGTCTCTTGTTTTGTTTTAGGAAAGGAATGGTTTCACATTAAGTTAGAAAGCAGAAAAAGAAAACCTTTTAAGAACGTGTTGTGTTAGGGTCTATGTCACTGTCTCTGATTCCCAATAAGCTAGAGTCGGGGGATACAATATATTATTTGTACTCATAGACTGAGTGGTTAAGAATTTCAGCTGAGGATCCAGGCAGTCCTCTTTGCAATCCACATTTGATCTTCAAAAACTCTGGCATTTGAGTGATAACTGTTTGGAAATAAATGCATCTTACAATTTTTCCCCCTCCCTGGAGCAGAAGATCTGAGTTCCAGAGAAAGTCTTTGGGGTTTAGGGAGGCCAGTGGACAAGGTGAAACATGTCCCGTAATTGAGACAACTGTAGCTGAGTAATGTGATCTCGTGCACATTCCATTGTCCTTTCCAAGCCTAGAAGCCATGTGGTATTTGTTGTTTAGAAGTGTCGCAGATTTACCTAGCTTTCCTTGGATGCATTTTGACTTGTGTGTTTTTTTTAATTGTTGTGCTGGGTGGGGGTACGTTGTAGTATTTACAAGGTTCTTACAATGTATCAAATATATCATACTTGAATTCACCCCCTCCATTGACTTGTGTTTTAAAATATTTTTATTTTCAGAATATATAATAATTGAGTCAGGTTGCAACATTAGCATGCTAAATCTTTGGTTTTTCCCTAGAGGTGACACACATCAGAAGTATGTCCAAGAATTTACATTCATAGTGTCCAGAAGATTATCTCTAGTGGGGTTTGTGTGTCGATTGACTTTAGTAGTTTATAAGGCAATAATCTGCCTGATTTCTCATTGTACTCATTGTAGTATATGTACATCATTGTAATTCTCTGTCTGTAGCACATTTCCTACAAAGAAAGGAACTGCACACAGGTTCTCTTCATGGGGAAGTCTGTACACTAATTTTTCATAGACTTATATAATAGCATCCATATTCTCATTGTTTTGTAAGACAAGAGCTGTACGTTACTTGTATAGTGTTTTGTGAACTCAGTTAAGGTAATGCTTGTTCAGAGCCTGAAATTGTGACCTGTACTTGAAGTCTTCTCACCCAGTCCCCTGCTTTGGGGCTTCCACCATCAGTTCCTGAACCCTCTGTGTTCTCAACTTACCCTGTCAAGGAATGTAGCATTCCATTGGAGAGTGCTGCTGTGTTTAGTCTGCCATGTGTTTGGCTTCTACTCCTAATATAATAAGTAAAAATTCAAAGGAAAATTTTGCTTTTAAAAACTTCTTTTAAGAGTGGATAGCATATTCTTTGCAGTAAGACTTTCACTGGATATCTGTGATCAATATTTGCTCAACATTTTTGTGTCTGAATTGCTTGTACACATTTTTTATGTTGAAGTAATATGATGAACTCATTCCGATATGGTGATGATTTTTCTATGGCAAAGGACTAATTACACATGGTGTCCTTTAGAGGGGACTAGGAGTGGGTCTGGTCACCCCTGGTTTGGATGGAAATGGGCTAGATTGGGAAGCCCAGGAACAGAGTTCCACTGCAGACTTCCTAGGCACAGATCTGTTCAAAGTGAGAATGTCTATCTTTCATAGCATTCTGATTTAATCTGGTGACACTGATAACAAAATATTTTATTCAGATCTATTTAAGGTATGAATTACTGTATTTGAGGAATTTGGGGTTTTTTGTGTGTACGTGTGTGTGTAGAATGGGTAAATAAAATTGTTGAGTAACTTGAACCTATCAGAAGGCTTCTGGGTTTTTTATTTTGTATTTTGGGTTGTGTTTCTGTCCCACCTACCACCTACCCCTAAAACTTTGTCCCATGCTGCTATATAACACTTGAGACTTAGGCAAGCTAACGTAAGTTCTGTGAGTGAAGTCCATGGTTGTAGGCATGACCCACTTTTACCACCCTCTGGGGAATATGGGAAGGCATTTTGGGAAGCACACAAACTTGATTAGTCATGTGTACTTACAGGTGCCTATACAAGATTTAAGAAAAACTTACCCTTGAGCATATAGTGTTATGATTCCCATTAATAATGTATAACTTATATTATGTATTATAAAAAAATTTGGGAGACCTTTTAGAATTTGGTGGGCTATTGTTTCTAAACTATGCCCCTTGTTTCTAAAGAGAATATTGCTAATGGTACAAGATGGTATTTACATTCTGGAACAGGAAATACAGGTGGAATCATTTCAAAGAGGCTCTCTTGCCTTATTCCTTGTTACTCTAACAAAACCCAGATGCTCATTAGTACTGCACACCTCAGGCCCCATTCCAGACCTACTGAACCAGAACTTTCATTTTAACAGGGTCACCAGGTGCTTCATAGAAACATTTAACATTTGAGAAACACTGTCACAGAGGGAAGAATTACTAACAAGGTAAAACATTAAAGTCTAGCTTATGAGAAGTTTTTCCTGCTCTGATTACTGATTTCAGAATGGTCTAAGGTAACTGCAATGGCAGGGACCCTCCTCAGAAACCGAGTAGCTCCTGACAGCAATGTCACTTTGTTGGCATTGTTTCTTGGCACAGGTATCTAATCACTTCAGCATCATATCCTGGGTATTCAGCTTAGGGTCCAGGTGTGAAGGGGGCACCTGGCCCAACGTCACAAGATCAGTTTCTCAGGAAAAGAAGCATATAGCTATGCCGTTAGAGTTTGCTTTACCCCCCCAGAGTCAAGGTTTGTGTGTGTAGGGACACCATTGTGTCCTTCCATGCATGAGGATATGGGGATGGGGGTGGACAATGGAAGGGCTGGGGAGGGATTCTGCTCACTTTCCTTAGTTTGTCTTTTGGTTGTGGTATAATGGCTTTGCATCTCTTCCCCTCTGACTCCTAGGAGAATGTGAAGGCTGTGCTTATACCCCCCTCCATGGCATCCCTCACACTGTGCTCCGATGCTGTGAGGCTGAGGCCAGACATCTCCACGGAATCCATCTCCTGAAAAGCTTGGGAAGTCAGCACCACTGAGGCTAGAACAGGAAGTTAAGTGGGGTCTGCAAATTTGGGGCCACCAAAATGAGGCCTAGAAAAATATCACCACCTTTTTTCCCCTCATTCCTAATGGGAGTATTAGCTATACTGTGCCTCACAATGTTCAACAGCCTGAACTGATGAATTTTTATTGTTTCTTTGCTGAAATTGGCTCAGGTTTACAAATATTGTTCTGTTTAGGCATTTTATACCCTGTTACTGTGTGCACCCTCAGCTGGCTATCCTTTGCCTAAAGTGCAAATACACTTCTTCAAAATTAGTTTCTAGGTGAGAGGAATGAACTCCAGGAAGCCTTTCCCATGCAGTTAGAGCTGGTATTTGCATCTGTGGCAGACAAGCTGACTGGAGTCCAGTGCCTGTATGCTAGCAGTCATTCTGGTCACACTTGAAACGAGACAAATCGCCTGCTGTATGGAGGGTATCTGAGAAATCAGTCCCTGAATTGTCTCTTCTACAGTAATGAAAGAGTGTTTCTCTAGCATCCCTTTGACTCAGAGAACTTATTCTCATTCTAGGCCTTCCAGGACAGAATGACTACAAGACACCTGCTACCCCCAAAGGGTGCCCATCTTTAAGTTCTTTTTTGTAACTACTTTATTTTCTACCCAAGGTTTAACACTCCTGGATAATTGAGAATGGGGGCTGGTAAAAAAAAAAAAGTAGGGTGTTATTTATATCCAAGAAAGAAAGAAAGATGACTCCTTGGGAGTCAACTCTACCAGGGAGTTTTTGGTTTTTGTTTTTTTGTTTTTTCGGCTTCAAAACAAGTAGAGATAGATATGCCCCTTGTTGGGGTCTCTAACAGAGCTGTGCTGTGACTTTGAGAGCTGCCCCTGAGCTAGTTGTCATTATCATGATCTGCTAGCTGGTCTCTCATGTCACACTGCAGAAGCACGGGAGAAGAAAGACCTTGATATATTCATTAGTCAATTGGTGTCAAATGTACAAATAGGTCTCTTTAAATGTGATTTTAATATGTTACTACTCCTGAGGAAGAATGCAGACTCCCCCAAGTAAATTATATCTATTTTTTTAAGATCTGGATGTTTTTAACTTTAAATGTTTTCCTCCTTTCACTAAGATAAGTTGTTGGGCGAAAGGATAAATAGCAAGAAAAGTAATGACGTACAGCTTTTGCTGAATGGTTCTTTGATACTGTAGATGATACAAAGACTGTTATCTAAAATGTGATGAGCTGGACTGCAGGCAGTCCAGCATCCAGCAATGCAGAGCTTACTTTATACGCACAAGCTGCCTTCAGAAAGGCTCCTCACCCTGCTCTGTAGTAGATGATGTTCAGCTGGCTACTTGTAGCATGCTGTACTGTAATGATTTTGTTCTTGCGGTGCAGGTTTCTCTCTGCATCTAAAAACCCTATCTTCTGATGATCAGTGTTTTTATTGAGTTATTTATTCTATGTAAGGCATTTTGAAGTTCTCATTATCAGCATTTGCATGTATTTAATCGGAATGTAATGTAATTTATGTTGTCAGTTTTTTGGTAGAAATGTAGTTGGCTTGAACTTTCAAGTCTTATGTTCATAGTATTACCTTAAGTTAAATTTCTAGACTATGAACATCTGTTCTGTAAGAGGATAATAACATGTTATGTCACAGTGAGTTTTTTTAAATACTGTTTTTCTCATTGATTTTTATTATAAGCCAAGAGATGTATTTTTCTGGAGTAACGTCCATCTCCTTGGTAAATAAAATCATGTTAAAATATGTCAGTAACATGTATTGCTTTTGTAATAAGAAGATACAATAAAAGTTATTTTTAATTAAAGAAAGCAATTGATTTTTGTGATCATACACAAAAGAAGATAGCATTTGTACATTATACGTGCATAAAATTTTAATAAAATGGTCCAAAATGTGTTTGAAACTAGCTTCTTTAAAAATGATTCCGAAATTATTAGACAATATGTATTTTTTCAGACACAGTGGTGTTTTAATTGGTGACTCATATCTGTCAAGCTTCACTCGCTTTTCATTGTGATCAGGAGACTATTACCCTCGTGCATTATTCATATTCCAGACTTTTATTCACTTATTTCCAAATATTTAATGAATGCCCACTGGTTGCCAGGCAATGGCTCAAACAAGTCCCTACCCTTTTTCTAGAGCATATTTTTGGAAAGGAAAATGTTAGCAGCAGGTCAGGAGCCCATTCTCTCCCCTCATGAAGGACTGACCAAAATTGCTATTAGATAGTAGTTATGTAAATGTAGATGTGTATGATAAAGGAACTGGGAACATTCTTCTTGGCCAATAGCCAAGATAAATAAAATGTCCATAATAGCAATAAAGCATTTCCAAGTTCTCTAAGTTCAAGGATTCTTCTGGTAGGATAAAAATGACTTATAAATTCAAGTTTGAAAGTGAGCGAGAGAGGTTATCAGTATTGACGCATACATTGTGCTTTCATAGTGTAACTAGAAGAGTAACGACAGTGACGGGATGACATCAAAGGTATAATTTCATTGAAAAGATCTCCAATCACTTTTTCAAGTGTTATCTAATTCAGCATCCAACCACCCCCTGTAAAAGAATAATTCTCCTTCTTTACAGGTAGGTAAATGAATACCCACCCTATTCAGTGATATACCTAACTTGGAATTGTCAAAGCCAGTGCCTCACAGCAAGGTAAACGGTCAGATTTGTAACAGTGAGGACCCAAGAAACACATACCATATCATTTTAAAATGTAGCTGGTAGCTTAACAGAGACATCAAAGCCAGAAAATGACTCAGAGAGTGCTCTGGTGTTTATTATTTGCATTTCTCCTGTAGCTTTAATTATTACATCATGTCTTAAACCTCTCTAAGTTTTTCAATCTGGACTCTTTGTGAGCAGTGTCAACCTTCAGGCTCACTAGCTTACCCTTGTCCATGACAACCCCTCACTGGCCTACTCTGGAGGCAGAGGCAGTAGGAGTATAACTGATGCAAGCCTAGGCAAAGCTGTCAAGACCCTATTTCAAAAACAAAAACAAACTGGCTGGGGGTGTGGCTCAAGTGGTAGAGTGCTTGCCTAACAAGTGCAGTAAATGTGAGGCCTGGGGCTCAGTCACCAGCACTTCCTGTGGCCGGCTGGCAATGGCCTAGCATTATGCTATCACAATATGTGATTCCTACCCATATTCTGCACCATCCAACCTACACTTATTCTCTTGGAAACCTACATTCATTCATTTGAGCTTTGACAAGCTAAGGATTCTCTTCCCAGAAAAAGGCAGGTGCACTTTAGTTTCACATACAGTTTAAAGGGATCACCATCCTGAAGCCCAGCCCCGGATCTTGGGGTAGGAAAACAGGAGCTAGGTGACAATGAGCACACTCCTTCCTCTATTACTCCCCTTGACATGTTAGAAAATGTATATATTCAAGTGACATTCATTTCTCTGTAATTGCAAAATTTGAAAACAAAGTTTTCTTTTAATTCATTTAACAATAAAACCTGGCTTGAACTTGTGAGGATGTTTATAGTCTATATATCCTACCTGTGTAAGTATTTTTTATATGTAATGGAGAAATATCAGTAAGACGATAGTATAAGTAATATGGACTTCCAAAGTCCTACTAGTGATAAATCTGAAGTAAGCTATTGAAGTGAAGACTTATTTGCCTTTTTCTGCAATATGTGCTCTATGTCTAGATTTAGGTAGGACTAAACTAGATTTTCTTTCCATTTTAAATCCTTTCTTGTACAAATATTTTGTACATAGCTGTATATAAGACACTAAAGAGTATGTATCCCTCGAGAAATAGAATATGTGATATAGTAATTCAAAACTTTCTGAAAAAATAATCACTGGAATAATTTTTCAGTGAATTACTGGGCATTTTTTTTTAAGCAAACAGTCTAGGGATTGTCAATTCCATAGGGGTCTGCAGCATTGATTGACTTTCTATTAGATTCTTCTAAAACTATCTAAGAATAGAGCTTAATTCATAGCAAATGGATGAAAATGAAAATTATTCTTATCTGAGAACGATACACATGTTCGTGGTGATAGAAAAGCAAATGAATTTTGTCCATTTTATTTTAATTAATTACCATTATGTAGAAAAGTCCCAAGAATTGTTCGTTAGGACATTAACTAGTTTTGCATCTATTAGAAAAGTCATTTCTGAATGCTTTTGACTATGTAAATCTCTACTTCTCAAATTCTTCTCTGTATTACTGGTAATATTTTAATGGCTCCTCATAACTAAGGAGTTGAATAAAATCTTTGACATACTCATTTTATATTCACACAAGTGTCATTTTTTAATGTTGAAAAATCATATTTTACAAAGAATTTACATGAGTTCACAAATTGAGAAAAGATGAAAAAAGCATAAGGCAATACACAATAAATGATAAAATGACCTATGGATTTGGGGAGGGGTGCTATGGTAGTTTCTGAATGCCTGTGTTCTTTCCATTCTTTTTTTTTTTTTTTTTGTCAGTACCAGGGTTTAAACTCAGGCCTTCATGCTTGCAAAGCAGGTGCTCTACCACATAGGTCACACTTCCAGTCCTCTTTTCATTTATTCTTACATTGTGTTTCTTCATTTAGCAAACAACTCTGCTTTGCAATGGGAGGAGCAATGGGAGGAAGGGAATACAACACAAAGGAGGCACTGGCCCCATCCCAGAATTGTTAATGGTTTAGTGTTGGAGTATAGAAGAGGGGAAAAAACTTTCTTAGATTCAGTAGCTGACACCTTGAGTTAAACTAACAAGAGACATATTAACAACAACAAAAAAAATAGTTAATCTAAACCAAATACGTATGGGAGAACTAGAGTATGAGTAATTCAAAGGAGTGGTTAGACGTAGGGGTTTATATACCATCTTAATAGGTAATGGGAAGGAAGAGAAAATATAAGAAAACAGATGATTTTTTTTGAAAGATAAATGGGCTTTCAGAACAACAAGGAGGTAAGACATTTCATAATATTTGTCCATATGAGGATGAATGGTGGTTTTGTTTCCTTCAAGGCCATAAAACTCTCTTGGAGAAGGAATTTGGTTTTATTGGCATTCTCCCTTCTGGGAGTAGATCTGCACTGATGGAAAATGTATGTCTATTTATATCAGTTCTCAGAGTTTGCTGCTTTTAGATAGGGGAAGGTCCGAGAAAGCTCCCCCGCCCCCTCCCCTGCACCTGTTGAACTAGAAATGCCTTCAGCTTAAATCATCTTTATAGGACAGTGGTATATTTATGAGTGGCATAGTCTGATCTCCTTCAGGAAGAAGACATCAGAAGATCATTATAAGATAATGATAATAGGTGGGGAAAAGAATATTATTTGAGTGCTCACTGTGTGTCCCTAAATGCTTACCATATATTTCACTGAAATCCAAAACTTTGTAGAAATTTTATCCCAATATTATAATTGAAGCAAAGAGAACCAACCAAGTGCTATGATATTCATGAGCAACACGGTATAAGAACCCCAAAGCATTTAACATGACCTCATTCCTGATACCAGGGCAGTCCCCTCACCCCTCACCTCTGCTTTCATTTGGTTAACTCTGGAGTCAGGCCAAAGCCTACTCCAAGAAGAACTACAGAGTGGGAAGCCTGGCAATGTCCTGGCAAACAAGGATAAAGTGGTGTTCAGGACTTTGGAGTCCAGCTCCTTGCTGGGAAGCCATGGACCTGAAGGACAGAGACAGGTAAGGCTAGCTTACTTCCTTGAGCTTCCAGTCTTCAGTGCTGATTCCAACCTTGGGATAGCTGGTATTTGGGAAAGGGGAGGGAGGTAGCGCTCAGAGGTGGGTCTCATCTGGAAAAGTGCCACTGATTTGCACCCTGTCCTCTAATCCCCTGTTTGCAGAAGAAGGACTGTAAACCCTGGCAAATATTGACAGGAATCAAGGTCATGACAAGACCATTTGGCTCACGTCTTTTGGGGAAGGATTAACCTGTAGTTAAAAGAGACAGTTCAATTTCTGAAACTGAGTTTTAAAACTGGCAGCTCTTTACCTATCTCTGTGGCTTTGCAAGATTCTCACCTATACCAGCTTCCTTACCACTGTTTTTATTTCCTGTTCTGGATATAGTTTTCTTTTTGCACGTTTTTTCAAGGGAAGGGAAATCAATACAACCTTGATTGGTTGGTCTGGTTTTCAGCAGTACTAGAAGATCTGTTTTGATCCAAGCTAGGTATCGGGGCTGGATTAGTTCCAGTCTGGGTCAGATAATTGATCACCAGATGTTTTGTCGGATTTTGTGCTGTCTTATGATAGTAAGGCAGATTTCTGCCTCAAGTGGTATGTATGCTTTCTTTAAACTTAGTTTACAAGGCAGTTGGTATTAGCTTGTGCATTATGAGGCATTCATGTAGAGTTTTAATGAAATTCACATTTGTGATATTTGTTTCATTTATTGAAAAGCCTCAAATTACCTCACCTAAAGCTCTATACTCATTGGGAATTAGTGTATATTTAATGAAGTGGGTGCTCTGCGAAGTGGGTGGTTACTGTTCACTTTCTCTTCCTATCTTGGGAGCAAGAAAAGGTGCCAATTTCAAACCCTTGAGAGGTTGTACCTATTATAAACTCAAAAATTGTTATTTAGGGAGGGAGTTGTTTGTTCAGAAATAGATAACTTGTGGCTAAATTTGAGTGACATACCTGTTACCCTTTGGAAGCCCTTGGAGAAAGAGGGACAGGGATGGACATAGATATGAAGGAGTCACAATTAGTAATCTACCAAAAAAGACCTTGGGTGCAGGAATCTAATTGGTGGTCCGTTAAAGCCAGCCATATGCCAAATAAATCTGCTACCCTTTTCCTTCCAGCAGAGAGCTGTCCAGAATTTCCTCCAGTGAATAACAGCGTATTTGTCGCAACGGAGGTGGAAGGGCAAATTCTGGGGACTTACTTTTGTATCAAGGGTTACCACCTGGTAGGAAAGAAAACCTTTTTCTGCAATGAATCTGAAGAGTGGAATGTCTCCACCACTGAGTGCTACTGTAAGTTGGATTTTTCTGCTTTTTTGCCCCTCTTGTTTGTAGGCCATGTTAAAACTTTATTCAAAAACTTCTTAATTTCTAGGAATCCACTTTTTATACACTATGCTGTCACTTTTTGTTGGTGTATATTAAATTGTACATAGTGTGGGGTGTTAGTGTGCCTGGTCCATGTCTCTGCATACAATGTACTTTGACCGTACTGCTCCTCTCTATTACTCTGTCTTATTTGCTTCCTTCCTCCCCCTTTCCTTTTCCCCTTCTGCCTCCCTAGTAGTCCCACTTTTACTTTCATGACCTTGGTTGTTTTATTTCTCCCCCAGCTTCCACTAGTGATAGAAAATATGTAATACCTGTCTATGCGAATGGCTTGTTGCACTTTGCTGATCTCCATAATTGTCCCATTTTCCAGAAAATGGCTTAATTTCATTCTTTTGTTTGAGACAGGGTCTCTTTATGTATGCCAATGGCCTGGAACTCACTATGTAGCTCAGGCTAGCCTCGAACTCACCATCCTCCTACCTTAGCCTCCTCAGTGCTGGGATTATAGGTATGTACCACCATGCCCTGCTAGGAATCCACTTGCAACATTGTAGTGGTTAAGCTTCTCTTGGAAAGTGTAAGATCAGCTCTTGATTAGCTCTAATTTAGTTGAATTAATAGAATCATTTATTCCTCTGAGAAGTGTTTTTAATTTTTTTTCAGTACTTGGGATCAAACACAAATCCTTATACATGTTAAGCACACACTCTACTACTCAGTCCTCCAAAAGAATTTTTTTATATACTAAAGCTAGTTTTTTTTCACTATAACTTACTTAGTCTCATCCTATTTTTTAAAATTCTTGTATTATTGAAGTCAGGTGCAGTAGCTCACACCAGTAATCCTAGCTACTTGGGAGGCAGAAATCAGAAGGATTTTGTTTGGAGGCCAGCACCTACAAAATGTTGGCGAGATCCCATCTAAACTAATAAAACCTAGGCATGGTGGTACACACCTGTCATCCAAACTAGGAGGAAAGCATGCAAATAGGAGGACTGTGGTCCAGGTTGGCCTGAGTATAAACAGCAACATCCTATTTGAAAAATAACTAAAGTAAAAAGGGCTAGAGGAGTGGCTGAAGTGGTAGAATGCCTGCCTAGAAAGTGTAAGGCCTTGAGTTCAAACCCTAGTACTGCCAAAACAAAAACCTCCTTATATTTATTGAAAAGTTTAAATATATACAAAACTCAGAAAAGTCAAATTGACATTTATACTCATCTCACTGCTTCCTCAGTTATAAATACATGACCAATCCTGTTTCATCTGTATCCTTTTTTATTATTATAATTGCACCCATCATATAACTCTTAAACGAGGAAATATATATGCTTTTAATTTACAAATGTGGTGAGAAATGTGCTTGAGGCCACAAAACTAATTATCCCCTGTAGAGATGGAGAATAATTAATTCATATCTTCTTTATTATTACTATTTTTTAAAATAGCTGTATTAGTTCTCTGTATACCTACACTAAATATTTTAACTTTTATTCTTATGGAAAAAATTCACATCGTTCTGTATTCTTTCCTGTTTTTCCACAGGAGAGAAATAACAGAATAAAACAAAACATAGCAAAGAGTGATCAGTGACTACATATATTTGGCTGGATGAAAGGGAAGGAGAGACTTGTGTATAACATAGACTCAAGAATTTGGGGAGCAATGTTTAACATAAAAGCAAACTGAACACAGTACTGGTAATTTCTGCTTAGGTGCTTAATTATGTTTAGTGAATTCAATTGCCAATTTTTGTATATGACCAAGACTATTTTTTGCCATACTTGTGGCAAACTGGTCTTTTCTTATCCTGCATTGATATCATTTGGTACCATGAACCAATCCCTGTTAAAAATGGGAGCATTAAACTCCAATTGACTATTTTCTCTCTGAAGCCTGAGGAAGTTTTGCTATCATAGGCTTCAATCTGGCCCCTGCAGGTCATTATCTGTTTTCTTTTTCAGTGGGCCACTGTCCTGACCCTGTGCTGCTGAATGGCGAGTTCAATTCTTCAGGGCCTGTGAATATAGGTGACAAAATCACGTTTAAGTGTAACGACCGCTACTTCCTCAAGGGCAGCAATTGGAGCCAGTGCCTGGAGGACCACACCTGGGAGCCTCCCTTTCCCATCTGCAAAAGTCGTAAGTTCCAAGGAAGCAATCAGGACACCCAAAAATACTGATTAGTGGTGTCACACTAATGTTTCCCAAATACCTGCAATCTTTCCTCTTTTCTGTATCTGTGAAAAGTTTGAGATCTAGCAGATGACCAGGAAACAAATGGAATTTGCAAACCACCACTCAGGTGATAACATCCTAATGAAATGAGCAGTGTCCAAACAACAGCTCTGTTTGCAAGTAGGATTCCTGTGCTACTAAGTCTACTGAAAGGTAGTTTGGGACATTGACTATGTTGTGTTTTTATTTCAAGATAGTGACTTAAAGTTGTCATTTGAAAATATACAAAAAACTGGAAAAAAGACCATAACTTTTCCATTGCAAAATTATATTGAAGGAGTGAAAGTCACTCTTTATATCCCTATAATTAATGCTTCTCAGAGGTCATCAGTTGGATGTGTTTATGTTATGACTTGTTCTTGTATTTATGCACACGTTTAAAGCAAGTACCCAAATAAAATATTTTAAGTTAAATAAACATTAAGAAAGCATTTGTGTGTGTATAGATAAATACACATACATGTATACATATGTATAGTACATTTACAAATACATATGCACAAGGTATATACTTTATATATATGAACACACAAGGCATACCTATGGTCTTTGTCCTACATTGATGTGATTTGGTATGATTTTATGTATATGTGTACATATATATATATATATATATATGTATGTATATAAATGAGATCTTGCTATATGTATTTTTAAATACCTTTTTTTCACATAACAATATCCATGGGAATTTTTCCCACTGCATGTAGTTACACCATGATTTACTATTCACTTCTCACACTGATGGACCCTGATTTCCATATTTTTGTTACTGTGAACAATGCTGAAATGAATGTTTTATATAACCATATATCATTATGCCTATGCTACTTCTTTGTTTCTTTGGGGGCAATACTGGGGTTTGAACTCACAGCCTTGTACTCGCTAGGCAGGCACCCGATCTCTTGAGCCACACCCTTAGTTCTATGCTGTTATTTCTTTTTTTTTTTCTTTTATTATTCATATGTGCATACAAGGCTTGGGTCATTTCTCCCCCCTGCCCCCACCCCCTCCCTTACCACCCACTCCGCCCCTCCCTCTCCCCCCCACCCCCTCAATACCCAGCAGAAACTATTTTGCCCTTATCTCTAATCTTGTTGAAGAGAGAGTATAAGCAATAATAGGAAGGAACAAGGGTTTTTGCTGGTTGAGATAAGGATAGCTATACAGGGAGTTGACTCACATTAATTTCCTGTGTGTGTGTGTGTTACCTTCTAGGTTAATTCTTTTTGATCTAACCTTTTCTCTAGTTCCTGGTCCCCTTCTCCTATTGGCCTCAGTTGCTTTTAAGGTATCTGCTTTAGTTTCTCTGCATTAAGGGCAACAAATGCTAGCTAATTTTTTAGGTGTCTTACCTATTCTCACCCCTCCCTTATGTGCTCTCACTTTTATCATGTGCTCAAAGTCCAATCCCCTTGTTGTGTTTGCCCTTGATCTAATGTCCACATATGAGGGAGAACATACGATTTTTGGTCTTTTGGGCCAGGCTAACCTCACTCAGAATGATGTTCTCCAATTCCATCCATTTACCAGCGAATGATAACATTTCGTTCTTATTCATGGCTGCATAAAATTCCATTGTGTATAGATACCACATTTTCTTAATCCATTCGTCAGTAGTGGGGCATCTTGACTGTTTCCATAACTTGGCTATTGTGAATAGTGCTGCAATACACATGGGTGTGCAGGTGCTAGCCTTTAATCTTGATCACCACTTCATACAATGTTGGAGCTGATAAGGAGGGACCGAAGGAATAATAGTGATATCTAACCTACTTAAACTATTAGAAAGGAAGCTGAGGTGGGGCTAAATGGTCTCCTTGGTGCCGTGCAGCTTGTGGAAGAGCCAGAATCAAAACTCACAACTCCTAGCATGCCAGCTGGGTTTTCCCTTTTTTCTGAAGCGCCCACATTTCACATCTCTGTCCACCTTTCCTATCTCAGGGAGATTGGAGATACTTCCTTTCCTTGAGCTCTGATAATCTGATAATCAGAATCCCTCATAAGGAAGGGGACAAGCCAGGACAGGGGTCTTTCCCATAGACCAGTAGGATTTTGGTGAGAAGGAAATAAATGGAGGCGAACAGTCCCAGGGTCCCGCCTGCACTGCTGTGCACATGGCCTGTGCAGATGCAGCTGCTGGCGGTGGGGTGCTGTTCACTGAGCACAACTCCCCTCCCCCACATGTCACTCTTGTACTTCTCTCTCTCAGGAGACTGTGACTCTCCTGGGAATCCAGACCATGGCTATTTTGAAGGAGAAGATTTCACCTCGGGAGCTGTCATTGCTTTTTACTGTGAGGAGAGGTGGGTGCACACAGCCTTTCGAATAGGAGGTCTTAGAGGGGGAGTGACTCAAGTGGTAGAGTGCTTGCCTAACAAGTTGGAGGTGGGGAAGGGAAAAAATAATCTAGATCAACTATGAGATTTTGGTACTTGGCTGCCTTGTTTTGGAGAATGACCCCAGTCTGTACCTGCCTAATCCCCTAATTTCCTCTTGCCTCAGGATTCTGGGTTTATTTTGATTTTGAAAGCTGCTTCAGCCCACTGCTAATTCTCCTCAATCCCTAAAAAACAGACCGATTCCATTAGAGTATGCTGTTTATCTCAGGGAAAGTATCATTGTTTTTTACTCTCAAAAATACCATTTTGAGTATTAAAAATATATGTTTCCTAAAGAGTCAAGAACAAAAAATCAAAGAAACACAGAAGTTCAGAAATACAAAGATTTACAGTATAGACCCTTAAAGAGTCCTAACTAAAGTCTAAGCTTTTTTGGTGGTAGTAGGATTTGAACTAAGGGCTTTGCATTTGTTATACAGGTGCTCTACCACTTGATCTATGCCTCCACTCCATTTTTTTCTTTCACTTTGTTTTTTAGATAGGGTCTCTCACCTTTTGCTTGGAGCTGGCCTTGGACTGTGATCCTCCTACCCATGCCTCCTGGGTAACTGGGATGACAGGTGCATACTACCATGCCCAGATTGTTTGTTGAGATGGGGTCTCTCTAACTTTTTGCCCAGGCTGGCCTTGAACCTTGATCCGCCTAATCTCTGTCTCCTTGGTAGCTAGAATTACAGGCATAAGCCACCTTGCTTGGCTAACCTCTAACCTTAGTTTAGACTGCTTCTTCCCCATTATGGGTCTTGTATCCTTTTCTTTCTCATGCCTCCATCTGGTGGAGTCATGTAGCTTCCCTGACATTTCAGTTTCATGCATACCTCCATAGGCTTTGCAGTCAGCTATGACATTTTTCTGATTAAAAGTTGTTTTTTTTTTTTGCCCATCCACTGAGAGGTGTCTTTAACTTTCTTCACTTTCTAGAACTTGGATAACAGATGCCTTTTTAGGTTACTGAATGACAAAGTGCTTCTTCCCTCACCCTCACCACGCAGAAACTGTGTGCTCAAATGCACTGATTCAGAATTTTTCACCTCTCTGTTTTGTGGGTTCATTCATCCCTTGTGTCCTCCCCAAAGAGTGGTTTTATTTTATAACTGTTTTGTAAGACTAAGATAACTTAAGCATATATTAAGCCTCAGTTGCAGGGAAGTGGATTGTGTCACAGTTTGAAATATACAACAACACAAAACCAGCCTCAGTTACCCAATTTGGAAGGTAGAAAGTCTTGGTGTTGTTCTAACTTCTGTTCAGGTACCGCTTAGTGGGCACACAGGAGCTGCAGTGCATTGATGGTGAGTGGAGCAGTGGATTTCCCACCTGTAAGTGGATCCAGGAAGCTCCCAAAACAGCTCTGCAGTCTGGGTTGGAGAAGGCACTTGTAAGTAGGGGCTCCTGTCTGCCTTGTTCTCGGCTGCATGTTCACAGCTGGGCACTGCTGCTGACACATGCTCAGTAGATATCTGTTCAGTTTGGGATAATGGTTTTGCATGGATTACCCTTTTCCTGATTTCAGAAGGAGACTGATAAACTGTCAACTTACATTTCTAAAGAAGGACATTTCCATTCACCACCATCACAAATGCTTCGTAAAAATCCATTGGTGGGAATCACTGTCTCATTTGCCTTGTATAACAAGGTAGTTAAATTCAGAACCTCAGATTTGTTAGTACTGACTGCTGTGAAAAGTCTCTAAAATTCTAGACTCCAATAAGCACTAAACAGATCTATTTTCCCTCAGATTCTTTTTAGTCCACATTTGTTACTGGGGAAATATTAATCAGAATATTTGGTCAGAAAATGTAAATGATTCATTGTGTTGAATATCCAGATCCCTGCTGATACCCCCTGGTTCTGAACTCCCCCTTCCCTCCTTCAAAGACCTACCTGGGGTTTACTGCTTCAGGGTACAGAGCTGGTCTCAGCTCTCCAGCTGTAATTTAACAATTTTTTTCCTTCTTCAGCTTGCCTTTCAGGGGACTAAGGACCTTTGCAGTGCCACAGAGAACTTCATGAAAAGATTACAGGAAAGTGGCTTAACAATGGAAGATGTAAAATATTTTCTGGAGACGAAGAAAGCTGAGTTGGAGGCAAAAAAGTGTTGTTGAAATATTATAGCTGAGCAGACTAGTAATAGAAATGAATAAATTTTCCTCTTGGTTCTGAAACTGGTTTCAGATGGTCTCTTACTGGGCTGAAATGCCACTTCATAGTAGCCAGCTGCAGTTGGATAATGTCCTGTGTCTGTCTGTCTGTCTATGTGAACTGTTGTACTTAGAATGTGGAAGGGACAGTGTGGTGGTTATCTGTTTAAGATCAAAATTGGCAACACATTAATGGAGAGTGGAGAGTGTAATTTCCTGTGTGCAAGAGAATGAGGGAGCTTGGATCTCCACTAAAGTTTCCCTCCTGTTTTAATATGAGACATGAATTATGAGGCAAATATGAACCTCAAATTATCCAAAACTTATGATTTAAAAATTAACATCTCCTTCTGGAGAAATAATCTTGTAACATTTACACCCTTTAAAATGACCCACTGAGACAGCAGTTAGACCCAACTCTCTCTTACATATGGTTTATGAAACCAGGTTTCTAAGTCTTCTGCAGCAGTGTTGCTTATTGTCTTGGATGAAACCCAGCCCAACATTGCCGTGAGGTCTGAGATGGAGCAACACAAAGGAACAGATCTTCTCCTTTTTTTAGAAGAAGAAGAAGTAAGAATCCTGGGACTTTCCATGGATGAAAATGTTTTTATTTTATTTTATTTATTTTTTATTTTATTATTCATACGTGCATACAAGGCTTGGGTCATTTCTCCCCCCTGCCCCCACCCCCTCCCTTACCACCCAGTCCACCCCCTCCCTTTCCCCCCCCACCCCCTCAATACCCAGCAGAAACTATTTCGCCCTTATTTCTAATTTTGTTGAAGAGAGAGTATAAGCAATAATAGGAAGGAACAAGGGTTTTTGCTGGTTGAGATAAGGATAGCTATACAGGGAGTTGACTCACATTGATTTCCTGTGCGTGTGTGTTACCTTCTAGGTTAATTCTTTTTGATCTAACCTTTTCTCTAGTTCCTGGTCCCATTCCTAAAGATCTTCTCCTTTTTTTAGAAGAAGAAGAAGTAAGAATCCTGGGACTTTCCATGGATGAAAATGTTATACTGAGCTGACATGACAGGTTTCTCCAAGCATCTCCCACCCTGTCCCTTACCCGCAGCACACAAAGGACATGGATAAACTACATCAAAAACAGAAGACAGCTTGAATAGTGGAAAAATCTCTAGGTGACATTACAATGGAGAATGAGAGTCCTTTAGCAGACATATAACCATATACACATCACATTGTTTTAAGGTAATTAGAATGACGAAAACCTGTTCAGAGAACGATATGCTATGGCAGTGTAGAAGAGGAGAGGGTCACTTCTGCTGGGAGGAGGGTGAAGGTGATAGTTATTTGAACCTTTAAAAGTAGGATTTAGAGACAAAGATTAAGGAGGAGAACAGTCCAGGTGGAAAGAAGATTTTTTTAATTGAGTAATAGTCTTAAGCTTTTGAACAAAGTAAATCAATTCCTAGGATTAATTAATTGAAACATACTGCTTTTAATTTGAAGATATTTATTATATTATTATCTATGTTGCCTATGCTATCAAAGCCTGTAGACACTTAAAATGTCCAATCTTAGGAAAAGTCTTTTTTTTTTTTTTAATTTGAGATAAGGTCTTACTTAAATTTGAACTTGTGATCTTCCTGCCTCAGCCTCCCATATACTGGGATTACAGATTTTTGCCACAATACCTGGCTCAATTTTAGGAAAATATTAAAAGATTTATGGTACATTAAATGTTATGTAGCATTTTGCATAATTTTAAAGATGTAAAAAATCTTGAAAGTATAAGTAAAATTAGAATAATGATAAGTACTTAAGATTACATTTATGCAAAACCTTTATTTTTGCAAAAAGGACTGGACAGTAATAGACACAGATGAAAACTGTTGTCTTATGATGGTTAAATTACAGAAGTAGGAAAGGTAGGATGTGTTTAGGGAATAGCATATAGCCTGGGTTAGCCTGAATGAAGCATGGAAGGGGTGAGAGAGGAGGTTGAAAAGATGAGTGAAAGCCAGTTAACAGAGGGTTTTGAATGGCACATTAGAGAATTTACTAGGCAGTGAGTAGGCACAGGAGACTTTCAAGTGAGGAAATGAGAAGAATAGAGCATGGAGGAAGATTTCTCTCACAATAGTACACAGTATTGGTTGAGGTGGGGAAGGAATTGAGACAGAGAAAGCAATAAAGATGCTACTGCAATAGTCCCCTGCCATGGATTGAGTGTTGGAAATTTAACCTCTAATGCAAAAGTGTTGAAAGGTAGAACCTTAAAGAGGTGATTAAGTCATGAGTGGATTAGTATTGTTTTTCAGTGGGTTAGATATTACAGGAGAGGGGTCCAGATAAAAGAATGAGTTTAGCTCCCTTCCCTCTTTCTGTCATGTCTGCTCTCTTGCCCTGTGCCTTCCACCTTGGAATGATATTGCAAGAAGACCCTTTCCACACGCAAGCTCATCAAACTTGGACAGTTCACCCTCTAGAACTACAAGAAATAAAGTGCTGCGGATGTAGTTCAGTGGCAGAGTGCTGCTTGCCTTTCATATTGTAAGGAATTGCTGAATAAAGACCACACCACATGTGGAAAAGAAAGATTTATTGAAGCACAGACTGCTGGGCTGCCCCTCTCAGGTTCAGAGTGCAGCAGCTTGGCTGGAATGGGTAGGGGGCTTTATAGGAGGGGCCACACCATGAGGGAGGGAAGATGTTCCTCCCAGAGAACAGCCAGGCCTCTGGCCTCCGTTTATCTGTGATCACCAGATGGAATGGGTCAACATGCATAGCGAGTTGAGAAACGGGAAGTCCTTGAGATTTTGCAAGCAGGGAAACAATCAGGGGAGTTTTGCAAGTGGTCATAAATCAGGGGGGTCTGGTTTCGATGTTAGCCTTGGGACTCTCTGCCCACCCCAAGAATGCCAGGGACCTAACATATGTGAAGTCCCAGGTTCAGTCCCCAGCCCCACAAAAGCTAAAAAATACAAAACTACTAAATATGAATTTCTGACTTTTATAAAGGTGCCAAGTCTCAGGCATTTTTTTATAACAAAAGAAAATAGACTAAGACATCCTCTCTGGAGACAATGATGACCTATGTGAACTGCTTTGATGGCAGCAGGAATGAAAAAGCATCAGTAGAACTTATCAAGGAACTGAATTACATAAAGAAGAGTTCAAAGGCAAGCCTGAAATTCCATTCCTGAGAATCTAGATTAGAGGTGGGGTCATGTGGTGAAACTTCTGGGCAGGAAATGAGAAGTTCCTCTTCGAATGTGTTGAGTGTGAAGTATTTGCAAGATGTCCTGTAGTGAACAGCAGAAACAAAAGATGTATGTCTGGAACTTAGGAGAGTAATCAGAGAAAAGGATGTAACATGGGGTGGCCCTCCTACTGAGAACAGTTAAAGCTGTGGGAGTTGCTAAATTCATTGACGTTATGGAGAAAGAAAATTAAAAAGAAGGAAATGGAATAGATGTACATTTAAGAGGAAGGGGAGACAAAAAAGTAAATGAGAAATTAATAAGGGAAGGGAATCAGGAAAGTTTAGGGTAATGAAAGTCTAAAGAGAAGAGAGTTTTAGAGAGGAAGTAGTCAATGTCAAAGGCTATCGAGAAACCATAAGAAATAAAAGACATTTTGGATTTGGAAAGGAGGACATGACTCAGAGAAAGATGGTAGAAGCCAGGTTCAAAGGCAGTGGGAAAGAATGGGCAGAAGGCATAGTCACACTTTTGAGAAGGGTAGCATCTCACTACAAAAGGAAGGAAAATGAAATCTGAGGTTTAGACACACAAGGAAAATGAAGAAGGAAGAGAAGAAGCAATTCTTCTTTGACTCAGGAGTGAATAAGAGAAAATTCGATACTGCTGTGGATAATGTAGAATGATTGATTACTAGTAAAATAGGAGGTAACATTGTCTTCTGAGAGTAAGAATGTGGTGACCCGAAGAGAATAATTGCAACAATCACAGTAGAAAGTAGAGAAAAAGAGTCTGATATATTAGGAAATAATATTTTGAAGACCTAAGTTCAAAGGTTTATTTCAGGGCTGATGGAGTGGCTCAAGTGGTAGAGCGCCTGCCTAACAAGTATGGCACCCAGAGTTCAAATCCCAGTACTACCACACCCAACCCCCAAATTCTAACGGTTTACTTTCCTCCAACTTAGCTCTCAAGACTGTACAACCTGGAATCCTCCTCTCTGCTCACACTTGTCAAATCAGTCTCTCTCACCTGTGTGATGTGGCTATGTTGTTTTACCTCCGATAGACTTGCTTTCATCTAATAATTTCTATCTCTCATTCAAGTCCAGCCTAAATCTCACATCTGTGAAATCCTCCCTGATGAACTCAACCTGCTATGGTTTACTTCTTCCTTTCTAAAACCTTTATGGAACTTTTAGGTTTTGTTACAGGAAGAAAAAAAAAACTATGTTGTTGGAAAGAACTACTTTTTTAATAGCAATCTCATGGGCACACAAATCTGAAGTTTTAGGACTTATATCTTAATTGGTCAATGTCAGGCCTTGGGTTCCTTCCTAGGTCTTATTACATTCTTCTGAGCAGCATCAATGACAAGCCAACTTCTGGAGATCCTTCGATGTCTGGCATGAGCAGTAGTGGTGGTGGTAGCTGTTTACACTACATTTGTTGATCTATGAGTATGTTCCAGGAACACAGCACACAACAGGAAATCAATCCCTGCCAATAAACTGACGAATCTATAATAAATTGATAAATCTACACCTTCTGTGCTTTCTTAGATGAATGGAGATCAGTGAATAGCAAGACCACCAGACTCTGAAATCCCAGGAAACCTCTGGACCTGTTGCTTTGGGAAGTGGGTCATTTTGGTGGAGCTTGTCTGAACCTTTCAATAGTTAAAGTTTCCAGACTCACTGGATTGTGTCTTGCATAATCCTCTTGTGTTTATAAAAGGAAAAAAGGAATTCTGGCATTACATTCAAATTACCTTTCTCACTTAGGGGAAATGGTTGGCAGAGGAGAAAATAAATGATTGCAACATCTGATCAAGAATGAGGACTGCTGAAGAGGAAGGAGGTCCGGTAAATACTGTTGGTCTGGTTCTGGTGTTAATCATTCACTGAGCCAAAGGAGATTTTCTGCTCATCCATCTGCATTCAGCTATCCCTGATCAGCTGCTGACTGCATGGGTAGAATTTGGGGACATTTTGGTGAAGCAGTTAGTGCCAACAACAGGATATAATGACAAGCCCTGATCTTGGGAGAAACTAAGACTACTGAGATCAAAGCACCATCATAGAGTTGTCTTCCTCTGCTATTGCAGGTCAGTGGGCTACTGGGCACTTGGGGAAAAGACTGGTGTTTTGTCTCTTTACAGAGTGCAGGATTGGAAGGACAAGGCCAAGACAAAATCTTGGCAGCGTTTTCAGTAGAAACCTTTTCAGGAGCATTGCATTGGAAAGCACTTTTAACCCCTTCTGAGCCTTTTATTATAAGTGTGTTGGGGGAATAATAGTGCATATTAAGATAAAGTAAAGCAGAAGAAGAAGTGTAAAATGACATTGCTCTTGTCATTGCATCTAAGAGGTAAGTGTGTTGGTCTGTTGATCCTTCACCATTTTCCCACCTAGGGGTATTGAGGCAAGAGGTAAACCAGACTTCCCAAAGGGGATTACAGGAGACCAGCTTTCCCCAGTCTGTCTTCTAAAAATTAGTACCATTTTTTGGGGGGGGATTTTATTAATTCCTCTGAATCTCCATCACCTTAAGAAAAGACCTTTAGATTTGATCATGAGAAAACATTGATCAGTTTTCAGTTAGTCTTTGAAACTAGAAGACTTAGTCATCCTCATCTCCTTTCTCTCCCTCATTTTCCAAATTTGATGATGCCAATAAACCCTTTCTTCTTAAAATTCTCTTCCTCCTTGGTTGGTCAGGTCACAGTACCATTCTGGTCCTTATCTGAATTGTCTTTTTGTTGAATAACCCTTCCTTATCCATAAATATGGTGGATAATAAAAATAAGAGTATATAGAAGGAGCAGAAATATCTAATAAGATTTGCAGTAAGTAGTCTTAGGAATACATGCTAATACAATATAAGCATAGGAGGAATGAGCTGAGAGAGAGAGAGAGAGAGAGAGAAAGAGAGAGAGAAAGAGAGAGAGAGATTCAAGGAATAGAGGGGGATGTATGAAAGAAAGTTCTTCGGGGGTGTTAGCAAGTGATATAATTGAGAGTCTGGGTGTAAGGAAGGAGACACTCTTCCTGAGTGTAAGGACAAATATTATCTCTTTCAGAGGTAAGTTGAATTTTAAAAGGGGGAATTTAGACAGGAAATACAATAACTTAAAAGATAATCTCTCTAATTGGAGGAAAAATTGGGGGACTGAAAAGTTCCCTAACATCTCTCAAATTGTACTCCATAGGCAAGTGCCAATAGTGTTTTTTCACGAGACATCTGCCAGGTTGATTATAATTCATGAGTTCATTTAATTTCTTTCAAAATTAAACAGATGATGACACCCTTGAACTACAAAGACATTTGCTAGTGTAGTCAGAGGATTTTAGTGGGCAGTTACAGAATTGCAGAATTTGAAGGGAATAAAATAGATAAACTAAGTTTGATGTCAGCATTATAGAGATGAGGAAACAGAGTCCCACAAAGCTGATGTAGCTTCTTAAAGATCACAGAGTTAGATTGTGTTGTTGTTTGAGCTCATTCTCAGGTTTCCTTGACTTGCAAGTCCTTCTCTGCATCCCCACACTGGGGATGGCTGAGTTCTGTGCAAGTTCTTCCGAGGAACCCAAGAGGCAGCTGGACAAGTGAATACGTGAGAGACATCTAAACACCACATTACTTCTTTTCAAAGTGGACAAAGCTCTTCACATACATTAGTCCCTTTGGTCCTCAGTGGGACATTTAATCATCCTCACTCTGAAGATGAAACTAAATTGAAGTTGAGTTTCATTTATTTTACATTTATTGAGTAACTATTATATACCAATTATAATAACAGGTTAGAAATAGAAAGTTGAACAAATGTCTTCCTTGTCTTCAATGAATTCACAGTCCTGGAGGAAATTGTAAATAGACAGTTGCGATATAATGTTGTGTTCAATTAAGGTGTCTGAAAAGCACCAGGGGAACACAGAGACACTGGGATTTCTTGGTGGAGTCCGGCAATTTTTCCTCAAGGAAGTGACAGTTGATGTGGATAGTGAATAAAGAAGAGGTTAGAGGTAAGAGCATTCAAGCACAACAGACGTTATATGCAAATGCTTACAAGTGTTTTTTTAAAATAACCCAGTATGTGTTTTGGGAAAGGTGAGTACCTTCATGAGGTTGAATTGCAGTGTTGTTCTATCTGTCTATTTGTGAAAGGGAGGGAGGGTAGACAGTTGGGAGAGGAATGGGGAATTGGGGAACATGTAAATTACTTTTGAGGGATATAGTGGTGTAAACATGGAAGCTGGCTACAAACGTTTTGAGGTTTTTGCAACTGTCACCTCTGCTTTTGTAGCTGCAGGGGAAGAGAAAATAGTTCCTCATTTCTTTCACTGACTTTATAAAGGCTTATAGTCTTAAGGCTGAGCACAGGAATTCCATTAGTGAACAATCAGAATGAAGAAGACAGGCCTGAATGGCTTAAAATTTACATGTATGAAGATTTGGATAAGACAGAATAATTTTTACCAATTTAATTTATGGTATATGTAAGTTTTTACACCTACAGGACACAATTGGGCCTAGAGATCCATGAGTAATTTTTGTGCAATGACCAAAGCCAGATGTGAACAAATTCCTCCCAGAGAGAAAGTTTAGGGTGAGGGAGGAGCCCCCTCCCTTTGCCCAGGACAGCCCCTTCTGCCTGCCAGTCAGTGTCTCTCTGCTCTGAGTTTCACATGATCCTAACCTTACCAAAGACCACAGAGATCAGACCAAGGGCTTCTGGCCCTATGTCCAGTGTGTGTTTCTTTGCTGTAAGCATTATTGTAATTGCAGTCAGCATTATTGTAATTCAAATCATTTTGGTAATGATATTTTGACTTCTAGGAGTGCCATTCCAAGGGCAATTCCATCAAAGTCTCCTCTAACGTTTCTTTAGAGTGTATACTATGGGCCACCCCTGCACTGTGCCAAGCTCCTCTCAGCGATTCTGAGAGACATGTACAATTATCATTCTTAGTTTATAAAGGAGAAAATTGAAGCACAGAAGGACTGAGTGTCTTGCCCTCAAGACTTGGTTTGCCTATGGTGGCTTAAACCCACATGGTCAGGATCTGAGTCCAGAGCCCAGGCCCATGGTCCTGGGCACAGTGCCTTCCTGCCCTAGCACCATGGCTGTGGCCATGATGTGATTCTGAAGTAGAGAAGTAAAATATAGGTATAGGGTCTATATATGTTTGTATCATAACCAGTGGAGAAAGGAGAAAGGTGAACTAGGTTTTGTTTATCCCTCCCCTCTTTTGCTGTTCCCAGTTGACTAGTTGATGATGTGATTATCAACCTGATTCAGGTTAATGGTGGTTGGTTTTCCTTAAAATACAAATGTGCCTTGCTTTAAAATCAGCTACAATCTGACCTTGACAAAGCAAACACTTTAAGGGTAAGTATGGACATGGATCAGTATTATTTTTCTTTGAAACTTATCACTTAGGTGCTTTGGGATTTACATTCAGCAAACATTTGTTGAGCAATTTGACTTTGTGAGGCACAGTGCTGGGTACTAGCTGGGGAAGAAAGGAATAGGTGCCCACTCTCCAACTTCAGAGATCATATGGTCTAGTGGCAAAGACAGACTTCAGATGTTACTTACAAAACTGACAAGTCAGAAGAAGAATGGTAAGTGCGAAACTGAACTTAATATAAGGAGGCAGGTCTGGAAGATAAAGGGACGTTGGAGAAGGGACTGACAGAATGAGTGAAAGCCAGAAAGGGGGAGAGAAAAAGTGATGTGGGCAGGAATAGGAGCTGGGAAAGTATTTGGAACAGTCAGGAATTCCAGTTGTCCAGGACAGGAGACTCATGTCAAACTTCTGAAAGTCACCAAAGCCACCAGAGCAAATGTCAATTCTTGAAGGCTCAGTTCACTGAAACCAATTTGCTGAATTTATCAAACTATCAATTTACCTGATGCTGTTTCAGAAATATTCATTTTGAGCATATTTTATAATTATAAATTGATTCTTTTGAATACAGCTAAAGTATATGTGTGTTTTAACAGCTTTTTAGATTTTTTTTTTTCTTAAAGCTAAGGATTTAATCTTATGTCTATATTCTTATAAAAATAGTGATGACTATCATCCTGGATATATTCAATATTTATAGATTTTTTGTTAATATAAGTGCAGCAATTCACATGGGAAATTTTCACTGTATACTGTTATTTCTTTGATTTTTCATAGTTAAAGTCTTTTTTGCCAACACATTGGTATTTTTTTTTAACTGTACTGGGTTTTGAATTCAGGACCTTGCTTTTGCTTGGCAGACACTACAACTTGAGCCAGCACCAATGAGTATTTTTAATCTTTTCAGTTTGCTGACATTCAATAAACATACCAAATCTGTTGACCCGATTATTAAAGAAATTAAAGAAACTTATTCCTACGGGTTTCATAATTCATAGAGGTTTTTATTGGGTAGGAGAAGTTGATTAATCACATTTTGTAAATTTCACAGGTGACTTAGCAGGCTGTTTTTCATGATATGCAACTTCGTTATCTCTCAGCTGTTTCCAAATTCCTCATAATGCTAGGAAGAAGGAGGAGAAACTAGAGACAGAAGAGGATTCTAGAAAAAGGAAGGGGAAACATAAGGAAGACAGAAGCATGAGGGTCCTGGTTCATCCCAAACTCTTTAGATAATCTGGATTCATTCAGTGCAAATTCTGCAACCATATTTCCAGAAGCAAATTGTTTTCTGTAGGTGAACTTATATCTTGTCAGAATTGTCCTAGTCACCATGTATAGAGCTCATAGAATAGAATGTGGGTGAAGCAGGGTGCCCACCACTGACAATAGGAGATGAATAGCTTTGTAAGAACTGGGTTTTAGAAAGATGAGAAGCTTATATGAGTCTTCACTCAGTGAAGAATTTAGGCCCCTCCACATACAGTGAAGGGCCACTGTAAACTACTCCCACCCCCATAATGTGGACAGAAACGTTTTTGAGAGAAACACTGAGGAAACTCCCTTTCCTTAAATGCACATGGCCTTAGTCTGAATCATGGACACATGGCAATGTTGACCTTTTGGATCTGATAGAGATATGAGAATACAATAAAAAATTCAATACTTTATTGGGAGCCAACTTCACATATTTCTTTGAAAACAGAACATGTCTAATGTAAACAGGATATATTGTGTTTTCTGAAAGGGATGGAAGTGGTGGTGAAAAGGAAAAATGTCCTTGGTAATTTTTCTTTCAACAAGTCATTAAATAGCCTGATTAAAAATGAAATCACTTTTGTCATGTGTATTTTTCACATATATAAAACATTTTTTTTGAAACTACCAATTGCTTGATGGTGTGACTATTATCCCTGGTTGCCATGAGAAACCCCTAATACTATATGTAGTGACACAAACTCTTTTCTCTAGCTCATCCCTTTCCTGCCTTTTTTGCTTTGTTTGATTTCACATTTATTCTCTTTTCTCTAACTCCACTGCCATTTCCTTATTCAGATATCCTTGGTGACTCATCTGGCTATTTTCAGTGTCTTTTAAATCAATCTCCCTCTCTCTTTTTTTTTTAATTTTTATTTTATTCATATGTGCATATAATGTTTGGGTCATTTCTTCCCCACCCCCTCCCTTACCTCCCTGCCCTTTCCCTCTCCCCCCTACCCCCTCGCTACCCAGCAGAAACTATTTTGCCCTTATCTCTAATTTTGTTGAAGAGAGAGTATAAGCAATAATAGGAAGGAACAAGGGTTTCTGCTAGTTGAGATAAGGATAGCTATACAGGGAGTTGACTTGCATTGCTTTCCTGTACATGTGTGTTACCTTCTAGGTTAATTCTTCTTGAACTAACCTTTTCTCTAGTTCCTGGTCCCCTTCTCCTATTGGCCTCAGTTGCTTTAAAGTATCTGCTTTAGTTTCTCTGCATTGAGGGCAACAAATGCTATCTGGTTTTTTAGGTGTCTGACCTATCCTCATACCTCCCTTGTGTGCTCTCGCTTTATCATGTGCTCAAAGTCCAATCCCATTGTTGTGTTTGCCCTTGATCTAATGTCCACATATGAGGGAGAACATACGATTTTTGGTCTTTTTGGCCAGACTAACCTCACTCAGAATGATGTTCTCCAATTCCATCCATTTACCAGCGAATGATAACATTTCGTTCTTCTTCATGGCTGCATAAAATTCCATTGTGTATACATACCACATTTTCTTGCTCCATTCGTCAGTAGTGGGGCATCTTGGTTGTTTCCATAACTTGGCTATTGTGAATAGTGCCGCAATAAACATGGATGTGCAGGTGCCTCTGGAATAACCTGTGTCACAGTCTTTTGGGTATATCCCCAAGAGTGGTATTGCTGGATCATATGGTAGATCAAGGTTTAGCTTTTTAAGTAGCTTCCAAATTTTTTTCCAGAGCGGTTGTACTAGTTTCAATCTCCCTCTCTTTTTCTCTATAACTTTCAGTTTATTTTGAATATAGCAATCTTCTTAAGACAATATTCATGTCACTCCTTAGCTTACAAACACACAATTCAAAAACCAAACCCTAAACAAAAAAACAGTGTCTATTTATCCCTCAAAGAGTAGAGTCTACAAATTCCTAAACTTGGCCTTCTCACCTCTTCAGATGCACCTAAGCTGTCCCCTTCTTCTTTTTTTTTTTTTATTTTTGTTTTTGTTTTTAAGCTGTCCTCTTAACACCCACCTCCCCATCTCAGACACTTTGCTGACCTGCAAACTGAAGTAGTAATTCCTACCCCCCTTCCTTTCCCCTAGCATGACCTACATGTAATTCTCTAACTTCACAGCATACTTAGTTCAGATGCAATCACTTTACAAAAGTCCACTCTCTCCACCTAGAATCTGTCTTTCTTCTGAGCAGGGCTTCTGCTGAGGCCAACCTTCACTATCTTGTGTTGTGACATTTATGCTCATGTCTTTTCTTCCAGGCTGTAAATTTCTTGGCATGGATCCCACAGCATTTATCTTAGTTTTTTATGACAAGTAGGAATTCAATGACTTCTTATTAAATTGAGTTTTTGTGATAGAAATACGTTGGAGAAGGAGCAGCAGTTCATGCACCCCTCCAGAGCTCCAAATGGGACCCTTCATAGAAAGGAGGAAATGGCAGCCTGGCCCTTCTCTGGGCTTTGCAGTGGCTCTGATCCAACTCTGTTCCAAATGACCTTGTTTGCTGCTCTGTTGGCTACTGTTCTTGGTGAGTAGTGGGAAACAAGTCCAGGTGAACAATCATTAAGACCATCAGCATATATGAGACTAAAAAAGAGACAGTTAAGCTTCTAGCAGAAATTCAGTTTCTGCAACAAAGTGTTTATTTAGCCAGGTGGAATTTAGGGGGAATTTGCTTTGTATGTGAAAGAGGAAGTTTTCTAGACAATTGCTCTAGAATTTCTTCTATAAGAGTTTCCAAAGAAAACTGTCTCCCAATTGTGACCTGAAACAAATCTATATCATCTATCAGTCTGATTAAATAGTTTTCATTGCCTGCCAGTATATCCAGAATGGAGAGGTGAAATGAATACTTCTTCAAGCTCTTAAAATGTTAATCAGTCCTGAATTTAATTTTTGTGATGAAAGTAGGATTAAGAGTTTAATGTTTCAAGGACTCTATAATTCCTCTACCATGTTGTCCAAATTTTAAATATATAAATTAAAATTTTTTTTTTGGTGGTACTGGGGTTTGAAGTCAGGGCCTCACACTTCCTAGACAGGTGCTCTACCACTTGAGCCACTGTACCAGCCCATTTTTGTGATGGGTGTTTTCAAGATAGGATCTCAAGAACTATTTGCCTGGGGCTGACTTTGAACCTCTGTCCTCCTGATCTCTGCTAGTGTTACTCAGTTTCCTTTCCCTGAAGCAATCAATGTTATATAATACTCTGTTTTTTGTTTTGTTTTTAAGACAGAGTCTTACAGAATAGCCCATGTTGGCCTGTAAAACTCACCGTGTAGCTCAGGCTGGATCTGAACTTGGAATCCTCCTGCCTAACCCTTCTGAGGGCTGAGATTACTGGCATTACTGGCTTGTAATGTTTTATTTAACGAGATAATGTGTTTCTGTTAAGGCAGACTTCCGGGCTTTGTATTGATAATCCTGAGTCAGCCAGATAGGAAATCTGAAAGGCTGAGGAAAGTTGTGTCTGTCATCCTTTTAAGATAAATTATCGCATAAATAATAGAGACAAAAATGTAATGCCTTGTATAATTACCATTTATCAACAAACATATTTACTGACTGGTGACAGGATTCACTGAACAGAGAGTGTAGTGGAATTATGAGTTTTCTTGATTAGAAGAAGAAAGAACTGTCCTTGCTCTGAAATCATACTACTGAAACATTGAGATGCTGTGTCCCAAGAAATAATATTTGGTACTTCTTGTCATTTTGTGTCCAGGAAACTGTGGTCCCCCACCTGAGTTAGCCTTTGCCTCTCATATAAACAAATTGGACCAGACAAACTTCACAACCGGAACTACTCTGAGATACGCCTGCCGGCCTGGGTATAGTAGGTTCTCCTCCAATCAGAATGTTGTCTGTACAAGGGATGGCACATGGTTCTATGAAGATAACTTCTGTAACAGTAAGTGTCAACATTTATTCTTCTCATGGTGCTTTTGCCAACTTTGGACTTGTCTTAGGATCTAAGCTTCCTGAACCCTTAGTCACTAAGAAACTATCCAGTTTGTTGACTACTGATTTCAGTGGTCACATATGTGACACTTTTGAAAAACAGAGTGCACTGAGGATATCAATCTGTTCTACGTATGTGTTTGGTTTTGTTTGTTGTGTGTGTGTGTGTGTGTGTTTGTGGGGGTTTTGAGATTTGAACCCAATACCTGGTGCTTGCTAGCAGACACTCTACCATTTGAACAATATCTCCAGCAAGAAGTCTATTCTATATTGTAATTAACCAAACACTTATTTCAAGAAATGAACCACAGGGGCTGGCGGAATGGCTCAAGCAGTAAGAGCATCTGCTTAGCAAGCACGGGGGCCCAAGTTTATCTTTCCAGTGCTGTCAAAAGATAAAAAAAAAACCAACCAAACAAACAAAAAACCCAGAAATGAACCACCAATTCCATTTTGATGTACTGAAAACAAGATTTACTTTAAAGTTTTATGAATTGTCAAGTGGCTAGAAAGTAGTGATATGGCTGTTAAAGTAATTTTGCCCAAAATATCTGCTGGGTTTGGAAGGAGGTGACTCAGTATCAGCTGGGAATTCATTCTGATGTTTTCCAATATAAGGGTATACAATCTATACCTACTCTATTTTGTCCCTTTTGTAACTGACACATAGTCCTTGGTAAAATGTACCAGAAAAAAAAGGATCAAATTTTGCAAGCATTTTTCCTTCAAAATAAAAATTCAGTGAATCAGGACCAGAAACAAGTGTGACTCTACAGTCAAGTGTGGGATGATATAGGTCTGTAATTCCAGGATTCAGGAGACAGAATCAGGAGGCTCCTGAGTGTGAGGCCAGTCTGGGCTACATGATAATATCCTGTCTCAATAAAATCTAAATAAGTAAATAAATGTACAAAACAAAATAAAATAAGTACAAATCTAAACAACTAGGATTTTCTGGAAGCAGAAGTGGAACTTGATCCATTAGTTTTCTTTTTTGATGTCTTCTCTGTGAAAACTTGGAATCACTAACCATTTAAGTTTTTCTCCCAGAAAAACGGTGTAGAAATCCAGGAGATTTACCAAATGGACATGTGGAAATTAAGACAGATTTGTCTCTTGGATCACAAATAGAATTCAGCTGTTCAGAAGGGTGAGTGCGAAGTAATCAAGAAATAATGATTTTAAGTTAACTTAAGAAACAGCTAGTGCATTCATATAGTTCAAATTGTAAAGTGATATAAAAAGATACATATTAAGAGTTCTCATTTCCATCCTGTCTCCATATACTGTACTTCTTCCTGTCTTCAAGAAAGGATTCACCTTTATTGGTTTCTTATATATTTTTCTAGAGTATCCTTATATTAGATTTATATATAGCTTAAATTTAGCTAAGAAATTAGCATATATTCTTAATTTTTCCCCTTCCAATAACAAATGTGGCTTTTTTTTAAATAAAAAAACTTTTTAAGGGTCTCCTTAGACAAATGTGGTTTTATATCTCACTTTGCTTTTTTACTTATTAGTATATATTGGCAAAATTTCATGTTTGGATATAAGGAAGTTCTGCATTAATTTCCTTTTCAACTGCACAGAATTGTTATTAGCATATCTTAGTTGTACAGGGAGATACATGTATGTAAATTTGTCCAGCTATAGTTCCATGTCACTACTGTGCAGATGCAATCCAATTCCCTTGATAATCAGGATTAATCACCTCAGCCACAGGAATGACCACTTCTTTGCCTATTCATTCACTTGTATGAGGGGACCAAGAGTTGACAGATTTCAATGGGCCATGAGTCCACAGGTCTCAAGTTCAATTTAGGACTGCCAGGTAAAACACAAGGATACCCAGTTACATTTGAATTTCATATAAGCAGCACATCATTTTAGTTTAAGGATACTCTGCACAATACTTGAACCACACTTACCCTAAAAATGTTTGTTGTTTATATGAAATTCAAGTTTAATTTTAAAAGTAGCCATCCTATCTGGCCATTCTCTTTGAAAGTCTTGCTGTTTACCATGATAGAAGCATTACTCCATTGGAAGCTAAAACTGTGACAATAGAGAATAGTGCTTATTTCTGCCTTAGAATTTACTGAGGTTTTAGGGTGCATCCTAATATATGGTCAGTTTTTATTAATATTCCACAGGCACTTGAAATGAAGATTTCTTTTTATGATTAGTGTATAGATCAGATCTTTGTTGATGAGTTTTTAATCTTTCATTGTGTTCTTTTTTATATGTCTTAAATATAAAGAAATTAAAGTAACTTAATAGCTTTCATAATTATTTTAAATACTAAAAAATAAATTAACAGTAATTAATAGCATATTTTGATCATTCTTTTTATATCCTTTGTGTTTTTATTTTATTAAAAAGGCTACCACATATTTTGGTATATATTTATAAATATTCACTGAATATCAAAATAGTTACTATTATAAAACACTGATCTTTGTGTAATTTATCAATCTTGGCTCTGATGTGCAAGCCATGGAATTTTGAAATCCTTATCTCTGCTTTTCTTTTAGTTTGCGTTTACTTGATATAATTTTGCCCTTCCTTTTATTTTTAATATGTTTGAGGCTCTTATAGAGTGTCTCTTGTATACAACATAAAATTGAATTTTGATCCATCCATTAATTGATTTTTTTTGGAGGTGTGACTCAAACCACACCTGCTTTGCAACTGCAAAGCTCTGAGTTCAAACCCCAGTCTCAACAACAAAAAAAAAACACACACAAAATTTTTTCCAGTAGGTTGCTGGAGAGCAATTACATTTTTGATATATATATAGAATTTTGTTGTATTATTTCATGCATGTATGCATGTGCATCTTTTTTTCTATTCAATATTTAGACTGACAGATATAAATACAACAGAGAATGTTGAATATTCTATAGTTTATTATCAATTGATTATAATTCATAATTAATGTTAATCAGTTAACATTAATATTAATATGCCTATGTCCTTGACATTTAGGAAGGCTCAGAACTTGGTTCTAGTGGTTATGTTTATATATTTAACTATTATTATTCTTGCTTCTCTTTAGATGTTTAAATTTATTCCTTGTAAGCAACAATAAATTGGAATTCTCTCCTTCCTTTCTTACCCTCTCTATCTTTTCTAGCAGTAAATTTGTATTAATTGTATTATTGTAGGCTTGTGTAGTCTCTGATCAGAATATTCCCAAATTCTTTGTGTTCCACTTGGAAGCATCCAGGCAGGACATGTGGGTGTAGTAAGGGAGGTAAGGGACTTTATTAAAAGTTATGGAAAAAGTTTCAAACGGCCATGATGGGATATGAGGGAGATGCATAGAAAAGGAAAAAGGGGGCCCTCTTTCTCTTTCAAGTGCTTTAAAAATCTACACTAACCTATGGGAGGGGAAAAACGTGGTGAATACCATCCACCAAAAATCAATGAGTGGGAGGGGCATGGATGGCCCCTGGGCTGAAGTGGGAGTGGTTTGAGTTGTCCCTGGGCCAAGGTGAAAACAATCTTCACGTGTTTGCAATTGAAAAGAAGGATCAGAGAAAACATAGAATGTTCAAACTGAAATACAATATTAAGTCATAGATGTTTTAAGAGTCCCAAACTTTTCCTATCTTAACCTGCCTCATTATTATTTTAGTACTTGTGTTTAACATTAATGTTAAATGAGCACACATAGGTTGATATCACTCCCAATCTTGCAGAAGAGGCAAGATCTGTTTTTATTAGTTATACCATGTCAGCACTGCCTAAGCATATAACATTTATATTTCACTCAATAATTCTTAACCCTATCTTGGTTTTTGTCTTTGATCTACATATTCAATGCTCACTACCACTTTTTTGTTTTATTTTGCTTTTCCTTTGTTTTTGGCTAAAGTTGCCCTGTGGTTTCTTGGTTGGCTATAGTATGTTCTGCAGTGTTTTCCTAAAACACAAAGAAAGCAAAACAAAACCTCCCAAACCAAGCCAATAAACCAAAAGAAAATTATCTCTTGTGCTCCTGCACGTTGAAATATGCCTGAGCTGTTGATACTTAAGAGACAGTGTACTTTGTCTCTGTAGGTATGTATCATATTTTGGCTGGTGGATGATGCTGTAGAGAACTCTAAAGCTGACCTCAATTTCTCTCTCTCTCTCTCTCTCTCTAGTAGTATTGGAGTTTAAACTCAGGGCTTCATGCCTGCTAGGCAGGCACTCCAGGGGTGTGTGTGTGTTGGGTGTATTTTTGAGATAGGGTCTCAATTTTTGCCCCAGCTGGCCTGGAACTGCAATCCTCCTGATTTCTGCTTCCTGAGTAGCTAGGAGCACAGGTGTGAGCTGCTGGCACTCAACTCAGTTTTTTTCTCTTATGTATAACTTGGATGTTCTGTCCAAAGATATTATTCTTTATCTTTGAAATCTAATGATTTTACTCTTTTTTTGGAGACAGGGGTCTTACTATGTAACCTATACTGGCTCAAATCACTATGAAGCCCAGACTGGCAGTCCTCCTGTCTCAGTCTCCCTAGTGCGGGGATGTATGCCACCACAGCTCCTTAGTGGTTTTTTTTTGTTGTTTTTTGGGGGGTTTTTTTGGTATCACAGCTTAAACATAGGCCCTATACTTGCTAGGCAAGTGCTCTATTGAAACTGGATTGCTGATCCCAAGTTTGTGTCAAAGATGCTGGACCAGGAATTTAAAAGTAAAGTAAGCACAAAGTTTATTAAAAGGACAGCAAAGCTCCCGTGATGGGAGAGGCTTAATGAAAAGGGCTAAGCCAAGGAATGGCTGAAGTCTAGGAGATGATATATGGCTCTGATGACTAAGGTCCTCCTAGTCTACCTTGGAACTAGTTTGCGACTGGATATCATTTTGTTGACTTCTTGCTGAACCTGACCACCTGGCCACCCCATCCTAATGGAACTGGACATTCCAGGAGGGTCTGGTCAGCCCTCCTGGCCCTGAGGCCTGTCATTTACACTTTATAGCTTCATGTTTGCTGTTTTGGTGAGACATTTGCTGGTTTACTTTCCTTAGGAGCCTGTTTCTCTTTGGATGTTTGTTTTTAAAGATGCTTCCCGTGTCCCTTATCTAGGAGAATGACTGCTGTACTTCATTATCTTGGTGAGAGTCTGGCTTCTCACCTCTCCTTAGATGTTTGCTTTTAAAGATGCCTTCCTGTCTTTCTTACCTAAAATGGAGTCACTTCTGCCATTTATTCCCCTCGCATTGTAACTGAAGCCATGCCTCTTAATGTTTGTTTCTATGTGATGTGTAATTTTAATATGTACATTAAAGTATTACTTCAGTAACCTGTACTTGATGTGTTAGGGTACAAGGCTGACACCTTTTGAGAAGACAAAGGACACTCGAGACAAAGGAAGTCACAAGGCGAGGTTTATTTCTAGCCGGCTAGGGTCCCAGCATCCGCCTGACGCAGCAGGTTTCAACAAGGACACTGAGAGAAAAGTTTAAGCAGGTCTTATACTCTTTAAAGCATCAATCATCGTCACATAGGAATTCTCATGCCCCTGGGGTCACATTTTCCTGATCTTGCCCACATCCTGGTGGTGGGGTAATATTATTTATTGGGAACTGGGGAAACACCAGAGGCTTACTTATCAGGTTACAAGGAATGTGTTCTCCCATAAATTAGGGGCTAGTAGTGGAATAGAAACCTAAGGTTTAGATAAGAACAGCAGGGGAGGCCTGCTTTGGAAAGTTTATTTACAAGTGGAGACAAAGAAAGGCAGGAATGGGTGCTTATCTCTGCATGGTGCCTTTCATCTCAGTCTGAACTTTTGCATGGCTCTAATGAACAATTCCTCACAGCTCTGTCCGAGGTTACAGCTTTTAATTGACAGTTTACCATGGTTTACAACCCTGTTTCAAGGCTATCTTCCTCTTCACGAGGTTACCCAAGGGTCATGCCAGTTATAGCTGATTTCTAGGCTAGGTGGGCTGCAAGTTAAAGTACCCCAACAGATGTACATTTTAAAATAGCTATTTTGTTCTCCATAAAGCATATGCTTATTCTTCCTGGCTTGTCATTGATATCTGTTATTTTTCTCTAATCTTTTTTCTGTTGTGAATTTATTTTGTTTGATTTTTTGTTTTTATCCTGTTTTCCCTTTTGTGTATGTCTCTTAAGAGAGAAGGTGAGAATATTTCAGAACTAAGGTGCTGTTGGGGCACTAATTTGCTCCTGTTGCAATAACAGAAACAATACTGTTTGCTTTTCATACAAAAACTGCTTTTTCAGGAAATTCAAAGTAAAGGAATGGTTAATTCTAGCTGTATTTTACCTTATTGAAGAATACACTTTTTTCCCTTAAGTAAGTTATTCCTCAGTATATTCCAGGAGGTTTTAGATTACTAAAGGTGACATTTGCCTTAGTGACACTTATTCCTTGACAATGCTACAATGTGAAGTTATCCTAGCAATGCCTTTTATTTTTCTGTTATCATAAGACCTGGAGGGAAGTCAAACTGAAGAAAACTAAGGTCTTGTGAAGATCCATAAAAAAGAATGTGGCAAATGGGGACTTAGTGGTGTATGCAAGTAAGCCAAGCATCTTCTAGTAGAAGGAGGCTTTGAGCTAGCAAGGCCGGGAAAGGCTGGGGTCAGGAATCTGTCAGGCACTGTCAATCAAATAAAACTGCAGTTCACACTCGAGTGAGTCCTACTTGAGCTTCATGCCTGATATTCATGTTGATCTTCAATTCTAGATTAAAAGAAAAAGGGCAAATGAACAAACACACATTGCTTTGTAGTGGTGAAATTTTACTAAGTCGTGTGCTCAATGGGATGTGATTACTGAGAAAAATGATTTCTTCATTTTAATATTAATAATTCAATTGTTTAGCCCTTTTTATCCCATTTAATTTAGGGTAGAAAGAATTCCATTACAATCTGTGGTTTATCTTATTCAGATATATCTTAACTGGCTCAACCACTAGTCATTGTGTAATCCAAGATAAAGGAGTTGAGTGGAGTAATCCTTTCCCAGTATGTGTAAGTAAGTAAAGATTTTTTCTTTCTTTATCTATATATCTTTTTTCTTTTTATTTTTTATTATTCATATGTGCATACAAGGCTTGGGTCATTTCTCCCCCCTGCCCCCACCCCCTCCCTTACCACCCACTCCGCCCCTCCCTCTCCCCCCCACCCCCTCAATACCCAGCAGAAACTATTTTGCCCTTATCTCTAATTTTGTTGAAGAGAGAGTATAAGCAATAGTAGGAAGGAACAAGGGTTTTTGCTGGTTGAGATAAGGATAGCTATACAGGGAGTTGACTCACATTAATTTCCTGTGCGTGGGTGTTACCTTCTAGGTTAATTCTTTTTGATCTAAACTTTTCTCTAGTTCCTGGTCCCCTTCTCCTATTGGCCTCAGTTGCTTTTAAGGTATCTGCTTTAGTTTCTCTGCATTAAGGGCAACAAATGCTAGCTAATTTTTTTTGGTGTTTTACCTATCCTCACCCCTCCCTTGTGTGCTAAAGCTTTTATCATGTGCTCAAAGTCCAATCCCCTTGTGTTTGCCCTTGATCTAATGTCCACATATGAGGGAGAACATATGATTTTTGGTCTTTTGGGCCAGGCTAACCTCACTCAGAATGATGTTCTCCAATTCCATCCATTTACCAGTGAATGATAACATTTCATTCTTCTTCATGGCTGCATAAAATTCCATTGTGTATAGATACCACATTTTATTTTATTTTTGAGTTAGCATACAAGATTTGTTCTGACTTGGCTATAAACTTAAACTCTCTTAGGGACTAGCAATTATGTGCATCTTTATTGCTACTTATACCCTCCATAGGAATTTGCAGGAATTTTACATTTGTAATGAAGTCCATGCTGAGTATTTCTTTCTTGCTTCTCACTCATTTCAGTTGCCAAGTGTGAGCCCCCTCCAAAGATCAGCAACGGGAAGCACAATGGTGGAGATGAAGAAGTCTACACGTATGGCTCTTCGATCACCTACAACTGTGACCCTCCCTTCTCACTCTTAGGCAATGCTTCCATTTCCTGTACAGTTGAGAATAAAACAATAGGCGTCTGGAGCCCCAGTCCTCCTACCTGCAAACGTAAGTCACAGTGACAAGTTCTGCTTTGAATTGTTGGTTTATAAGAAAAAAGAAGGTGAATTCATTGAGGAAATAGCACAATTCAAGACAAACTAATGATAGCACTGGTGCAGTCATTTATTTTGAGCAATAGATCTTTATTGTGTTAGAATATGGTAGCAAACAGTACCGTTACCTCACTGGTAAGGTAAGTTTTCCTCATTCATATGGAGTCTACTGCATGTCCAGAAGAGTCTTCAGGACAGCTGTGCTAGCTTAGTAACCAGATCAACAGCTCAGGTTGCTTTGCTCTTGTGACATCTCCATATCAAAAATGTACCTTGGCTATTAAGATCTTTGGCCTGGAAGTGACCACATGTCATTCTCCATCACAGCCTTTGTCTAGAATACTGTCGTGTAGGCCCTACCTTCTCTTAGAGGACTGGGGGATATAGTCTTTTATCTATTCAGAAAGTGGAATGGAAATATTTATTAGCAGTGTAATGTTACTCACATATGCATTAAGGGAAAACAAAACTTACTAAATACCAGAAAGTCAACAAGACAAGTTCAGCAATAATAGAACCAGAAGGTATGCTATGGTACTATTAGTTTGCTAACTTGAAGTGTTTACACAGTATCACTTACTATTCTCACCCACTTCAGGACACTATCAAATCAGGGAGACAGGAGACCATGATGCTTCAGATAGTTCAAATGCCTGAGTCAGAATTGCAACAGATGGACAAGACAGGAGATGAGGCTAGAAAAATGAGTAAAGTCCCCATTACAAAGGGCCTCCTGTGTCACTCTCAGGAGTTCAGAGTGTAGGGGAAGGGGAGACACTGAAGGGTTTTAACCAGAAGAGTAAATTTGCTGCATTTTAGGAAGGTAACTGTGGCCACAAGAGGAACAACAGTGTGAAGTGGGGCATGACAAAATAGGCACCCGCTGTGGTTTGAATGTGTCCCTCTAAAATCATGTTGGAACCTACAATCTAATGTAGTAGTGTTAAGAGGCAGACCTCTCAGGGGTGATTAACTCATGAGGGCTCTGCCATCATTAATAAGACTGCTGCCCTTTTAAAGAGGTTGGAGGAATAGACCTGGTCCTTTTTACCCTTCTCCACAGCATTCATCCCTTCCTCCATGACAGGAATGTAGCACAAAGGCACTGTCCTAGAAGCTGAAAGCAAGACCTTACCAGAGCCAAATTTGTTGGTGCCTAGATCTTGGACTTCTCAGTCTCCAGAAATGTGGAGGAATCTATTTTGTTACTTATAAATTACTCAGTCTAAGGCATTTTGTTATAGCAGTAGTGATGGAGTAAGGCAGTTCTTACTGCAACCACCCAGGCAAGAAGTGAAGATAGCTTCAACAGTAGCCATGGCAGTGGGCCTGGGGAGGAGTTTAGGATTATAGATGAGTCAATGGTGATTTTATTGAGATGACTTGATGATTGTCTGGATGTAGGGTGGGGGTGGGTGCAGTTTGTCTATACTTCTGGGGGCCAGTCTTTGATACTCTGGTTGCCTCTTCATAAATATTGTATCATTTCCATCAGCTACTGACCTGCAATCAAAATCATCCAGGAAGTTAGGCCATCATACTGAAAGTTTTGGGGGGCTTGCAGACACGTGTTTCTTCTGGGTCACACACGACTAGACTTTATTGGTGAGCAAGTTGGAGGAATATCCACAGTCATCCCATAGAAGGACCAATGCGATGGGACCTCATTTTACTGAGGCTTTTCAAAGCCACAGCTTAAAAATTCCTAAAGATTTCCAAATGTTTCCTTTGTAACTATTTGACATGTATTTATATTAGTCATTTGTACTAGTAATAACTGGATTAGCAGTAGCATTCTCATTACCATTCATCTTTTAAAATCCACTTGTCTTTCCTCACATTTCTTTAGAAATCATCTGTCCTTCACCAGACATTCCACATGGGAAGATCATCTCTGGATTTGGACCCATCTATCATTACAAGGACTCTATTGTGTTAACCTGCCAGAAAGGTTCTGTCCTCAGAGGCAACAGTGTGATCCACTGTGAAGCTGATAGCAAGTGGAATCCTTCTCCTCCCACTTGTGAGCTTAGTAAGTAAGAACCATGAAGGATTTTCAATGTTTGCTATGTAAAGCTATCCAGAAATGTTGGTATGGGAGTACTTGCATGCTTATATCTACTTTGAATCTCTAAAAATTTAAATTTAGATCAATATTTCTTTTTCTTTTTTGGGGGGGCTGGAACTGAGGTTTGAACTCAGGGCTTCACACTTGCCAGGCAGGCACTGTACCACTTGAGATACTCCACTAGCCCTTTTTTGTGTTGGTTATTTTCTACATAGGGTCTTACAAACTATTTGCTGGGCTGGGCTTTGAACGATGATCCTCTTGATCTTTGCCTCCTGATCAGCTGGATTACAGGCATGAGCCACTGGAACCCAGCTTATTTTTTTCTTGTTAGAAAGAAGAATGATTTTGGTATACTCTTCAAGGTCATCTATCATCACAGAAGGCTGTCACATAAACCTATGCATGTCATTCACACTCCAGTCCTATGGGGAGGCCTTAATATTGTAGATATGGTAGATTAGTATATTTATTTAAACATTGTTTTGGAAGTTGATAGAAAATTGTCTTGTCCTAACAAAATCATTACATTATGGCAATAATTTGAGGAAAAAGGTTTTTTTCTAACTTGCATGGAACTATTGAATGAATTAGCTATGATTCTAACTCTAAAATGATAAACTAATGCCAATTACTAAAATAGGGATAAAAGCAATAATGATTAAGTTGGAACTAAACCCAGTACATAGTAAGAATTAAATTAATGAATTCTCTGAACAGTTGTGGGCACTATTATTTTGCTCATTCTATAGATGAAGAAACTGTTCACAGATAATAAGTGACTTGTCTAAGATCATACCGCTGGTAAAGGGAGGAAGCCACTGATACCTTGTGTTTAGTTTTGCTTGTGAAATGTCAAGAACCTTTACCCTGGGGACTTCTGGAATGGTGGTGTGAGGAGTTAGACAAATCTCATCTCCAATTAAATTGGTCAAAATTAGTGAAGAAAACCACTCAAGGCTTCTTGGAGATTGATCAAAAGGCTTACAATAAATTGAGCATTTATTCAGAAAATTCATGGAGACTCAATATAAATTTTATTCCATTAAGACCAGGGATTATGCTTAGTCCCCAACAGCACTACCTTGTGGAGAACTGTTTCTATGGGCTCACAAGTGGCAGTTACCATCTCTCCCAGCTCCCCAGGATAGAAGAGGTATTTGGAGATGGATATGGCAGCCAGTGAATATTGTGAATTTTCCAAAGACATGTGCTGTGAAAGGCTTATTATATTAAACAGATGTCAGCAGCCAGACATCATCATCTCTTTCTCCACTCCAACTTCCATTACATATGGAGGGTCCAAGTAAGGCAACTTTCCTACACAGCTATATATTTCAAGAGAACTGTTCTAGTAGGCTGGGCATCTGAGTACCATCTCTCATCTTTCCCATTTTTCTAACATGGGAGAACTATTATGGGTAGATTTGAAAGTCAATGAATATTAGCATATCTCATCCCACTACTCTGGGCTGTGGACAGAGCTGGAGGAAAGTATTAATTCCCAATGCACATGTTCCCCCTCTTCATAGCTCCTATACCATAGGAGGGATTTTGGTGAGGTATGTATGAAGGAGTTTCCTTTTTTCTCTTAGCTCTTGATCTGTAGCACAAGTTTTTCCAGATGGGATCTAGAATAAGCTTCAAGGACTGTCAACACCTTGTGCCTAAGGGCCTGACTTTAATTTGATTTGACTATGAAGCATTTTACCACAAGGGAGTTGTTAAAAAACAATGGATTGGCCAGGCATGGATGGCTCACACCTGTAATCCTAGCTGCTCAGGGGGCAAAGATCAGGAGGATCTCGGTTTGAGGCCAGTCCAGGCAAATAGTTCCATAGGACCCTATCTCAAAAAAAGAGGGCTGGTGGAGTGGTTCAAGGGGTAGGCCCTGAGTTAAAGCCCTGGTACCACACACACACAAAAAAAGATGGATTAGCTATTAATACTGAAAGCTAAACATTACATGTAATAATGAAGAGGCAGATTAGCCAAATACTTGATGAGAGAGTTGAAGACAAAAAGCAGTCATTGAAAAGGTTAGTTCGAGAAGAATTAATTTAGAATGTAACACATACGTATAGGAAAGCAATGTGAGTAAACTCCCTGTATAGCTATCCTTATCTCAACTAGCAAAAACCCTTGTTCCTTCTTATTATTGCTTATACTCTCTTCAACAAAATTGGAGATAAGGGCAAAATAGTTTCTGCCTGGTAGTGAGGGGGTTGGGGGAAGAAGGAGGGGGCAGGGGAAAGGGAGGGAGGGGGAAGGAGGGAGAAATGACCCAAATATTGTATGTACATATGAATAAAAGAAAAAAAAACAAAAAAAACCCACAGACATTCCTGGTGGTTAGTAAGACTAGTGGTATGCCCAAAGACTGCATTTCTTGAGGCATGACATTAGATGTTGCATACTTGGAGGAAAATAAATTTAACTGAACTGTTCACTCAAAACTCTAGACAAACAAGGAAAGAACAACAGGTCCCCAAGGTGATGAGGGAGAATCAGATCCCAAATTGCTGCAATATATTATCTAACTTATCATTTTTTTTAACAATAATCAGACTATAAAGAAAGAAACAGGAAAGAGTAACCCATACAAAAGGAAAAGGCTGACAGTAGAAACTGCCTTTGAGGGAGCCCAGAGATTGGACATAGCAGAAAAGAAGTTCAAAGAAGCTATTACAAATATTTTGAAAGAGCTAAAGGAAACAATGTTTAAAGGAAGACATTATGTTAATGTCTTATCAAATAGAAATTATCAATATAGATAGAAATTATTAAAAAAATCAAATGGAAACTTTGGAGTCAAAGAGCACAGTAAATAAAAATGAGAAATTCAGAAGAGGAAATTAATGACTGATTTGAATAAGCTGAAGAAAGAATCAGTGAATTTGAAGATTGATTAAAATTATACAATCTAGAGTACAGAGAGAAAAAAATAAGGAAAATGAATATAAGAGAAATGTGAGCTACCTTATTAAAGTGCAAGACAGCTGTACAATAAGAGTTTCAAAAGAGAAGAGAGATAAAGGAGAAAATCTATTCAGTGAAAAGATGGTTGAAAACTCCCCAAATTTGATAGAAGCATTAATCTATTCATTCAAGATGCTCACTGAGGTTAAGAGGATAAATAAAGGAAGTTCTAGTCCTGGAGATATCATACTGAAAATTTGAAGGTCAGGGATAAAGAGAAAATATTAAAAGCAGAAAGAGAAAAGCAACACATAAATAAGATTAACATCTGACTTCTCATCAGAAGCAATGGTGGCTAGATGACAGTGAGATGACACATTCGAAGTGCAGAAAGAAAAAAAAAATCCATCAGCCAAGAATCCAGCAAAACATTTCATGTCTATACTTTTTGGAAACATCACAATACATCGTTGTAATTTTTCTTTATGTAATTTTACATTTCATTTTTGTTATGATAGCTGAGAGAGAAAAAGGAGAATAAGTAGATATTTATAGTTTACTATGTTAATTTTCATTTCTTTTTAGTTCTGGAGATCAAACCCAGTGCCTCCCACATGCTAGGCAAGCACTGTACCACAGAGCTACACCTCTGGCCGTGGCTATCTTCATTTCTCCCTGTAGATTCAAGTTATTATCTGCTGTTGTTTTCATTCTCTAATGCAATTTTGTTCACCTTTATCTCCCTTGTGTTGTTAATATCAAACATACTACATTTCCACATGTTATAGATATAATAATGTCATTACTTATTTGTTTTATGCAAGTTCTGTTTAAATCAGCTAAGAAAATAAAGGAGAAGAAATGCTACAGGTTCTGCTTCCTGGGATTCAACTAACTGTGGATTAGAAATATTTGAAAGGAAAATTGTGTCTATTGAATATGTACATTTTCCTTTGCCACTATTCCATAAACAATACAGTATAACAATTATCTAATGGCACTTACATTGTATTAGATACATTTGTAACAAAGCAATGATTGGAGTGTATGGGAGAATGTGTGTAGGTTATATGGATATATGCTGCCATTTGAAATTAGGAACTTTAATGTCTGTGAAGTTTGTTATATGTAGGGAGTCTTGGAACCAATCCCCATGGATACTGAGGAATGATTATATGTTGTCTTCTTGAGAGCTTGTTTGGAGGACCTAGCAGAGGACTGCAGCTACTCATATACCCTTGACTGAAGAATGGTCCTCCTCTATGGGAGATGGTCGTCCTTTTCCACGGAGTGTGCAGCTTCGGGAATGACACACATGGAACCGTGAGGGAGAAAGGGGACACCTGCCTAGCCAGCCAGATCAGCCAAATCAACCCTGGAGATCAATGGGGTGACAGATGTTGCAGCCAGATCACCCTCACATCCTATGGTCTTCTTAATTACCTACATAATGATCTTTTCAAGTGTTCATTGTTTTCCTGTGTGGATTCAGATACTGTCTGGTGTCACTTGGTTTGAGCCTGAAGAATTTTTTTCTATTATTTCTTACATTTGTCTTCTACAATCAATAAGATAATACTTCATGCCTACCAGAATGGCTATAACAAAAAATAGATATCTTCACCATCATTTGTGGAAATTTAGAGCTCTCATACCCTGCTGGTAGAAATATAAATTGGTACAGCCATTTGGGAAAGTAGTTTTGACAATTCTTCCAACGTTTTATTATATAATTCAGCAGCCACACTCCTGGGCATCTTTCTAAGAGAAATGAAGACAGATATCCACATAAAAAATTTGCATGAAGGATCAGAGCAACGTTATCCATAGTAGCCAAACAACCCAAGTACCCATCAACTGACTAACAGATAAATAGAAGTGTACATCCATTCAATGGAATATCATGTGACAATAAAAGTGAAGTACTGGTATATGCCACCACATGGATGAACCTTGACAACATTCCATTCAGAAACTAAGCTTTTCGAAGTACAATGAAAGGAAGGAGAAGTAATATGGTGTTTAGTTGGTACAGCACCCATAAATGATCTGGTAGTGCCCTTGATAATAACCTCCCTGGTGCTGGGCACAGTTGGGTGAATGTCCCTGTGTATTTTCTGGGATGGTTGTTACATCAGCCATTGCAGTCTAGTTCCTGACTGAACACATGACACCCTTTGGTAGAGAAGGTTCACTGTACTGTCGCAGCCTTGGTAACAGTGTCTTTTTCTCTCCGTTTTTGCTTTCTGAACAGACAGTTGCATCGACTTACCAGACATTCCACATGCTTCTTGGATAGGGTACCCCAGGCCAAGGAAAGGAGATATGTATCAGCCTGGGACTGTGTTAAGGTACCAGTGTAATTCTGGCTATAAACCTGATACAAATGAGCCTACAACTGTGACTTGTGAGAGAAATTTCAGATGGAGCCCATTCAAAGGGTGTAAGAGTGAGTTTTTGTTTTTAAAATATTTTTGTATACTAAATGTCTAGTAGGAGATAGGATTCTTTACTTTAAGTGAATGTAATTTGTTCCTCAAGATCAATTTAGAGTACATTATTTCAACCAAACAATAAACTACTTTTTGCCAAGAAGGACAATAAAGGCTTTACAGTTTGAGATGCTAAGATTCTGAAACTTTTCCTTAGCCCACTTCAGAATCAAATGAGAATTGGCACAGAAGTTGAATATTGTTCAGGTTAAGAATTTGCTTCATTACTGGTAAAGCTAGAATGGAGAAAGCAGTATAATATTGTTAGAGTCAGACTTCCTTCACAGCCTGTTCCTTCCCAGTGTAAACTTTAGGGTGTTGGGCAGAAGGAAATCCATATAAGTCATGAATTCAACTGATTGCAATCTGACTAGTGCTTCATGCCTTCTGAGCCAGGAGAGAGCAGGCTGACAGAGTTGGGTCTCAACTGCTTCTAGAAGACAGATTCTAACTCTTGACCCAGTTTTCTTACCTCAGGAGCCTAGAAAGGAGGTTTCCTATTTACTGGTCAGAGAGCACCCAGTGTCTACTTGTGGGGATCTCAGGGCAGATGGTTGCTATTTCATGTGCCTCCATGAAATTAGCAAGAAAGAGAGAAAATGCTTCCTTCTACCCACATACCAGAAGCTTGCCATTGTAGAGGTGAATACATTGCAACCAAAAGTACAGGGAATTGCATAGTACAGATTAGAATTTGAAAAATGTATGAAATGCACACAAATAATGAAAATTGGTAGTTTAGATCAACCTATCAAAAGACTATTTATTTCATGTTAAAAATTAACGAAGTTTAGCTGCAGTTTTAGAGTCATTTTGGGGAAGTGGAATAAAAGGTTTTTAATAAAGGAATTCAATTAAAATATATTTAACAAAACTCATTGTCATCACTTACATAACAAAGTATGGCTTGAAGATGACTAAAAGCCTACTTTTTAATCATATTTATTTTGCTCACAAGTCATTGATTTAATCACTTAATAAAGGATATTTTAACCATTTAAAAAGCAGAAGTGAAATAGTATTTATTCACATTTTAAAATATGATTAAGTAGGAATTTACTTTATGACATACATATTTAATAGTGTTTTATATTGTAAGGCATTATATGATTATAATAATAATCATATCAAACCACATAAATGTTGGGTTATTTTATTATATTTCATAAACAGATGAGCACTGAAAGTATTTGAGTGTGCCTACAAGAGTCCCTTTAATGATGGTTAAGTTCCTTGTTGGAGAATAATTTATTTTTTTTCTGTTCTAATATTTTACACCAGGCAACATAAGTTCCAGCTTAAGATATTTCTACTAATGAATGAAAAATTATATCCCTATATCAGCCCTTATTGTTTTAAAAATGAACAGACATTTCTCTTAAATTTTGAATCAAAAAGAAAAATCTTGACCATAAGCAATAATTTCTAATTATTCTAATTATAATTATTCTAATCTATGCATTAGCTGTCATGTGGATAGAAACTGTTGATAACTTTCATCTTCCTTGTAAGTAGAGAAGTATAAATTAGTAGAGTTTAATCTTAAGGCAACCTAATGAAGTCATAAGTACATAGAGGTTATTTGTCACTGTTCTTGAATAATTTTTTGTTTATTATCAAAGTTTATTGTGGGGTCAGTTCCTATCTACTAGAGAGTGCAGCTATGTCTTAATGTGCAATGGTAGTTCCAGGGTAATAGCCATTCTTCTAAAACAGTTGTACTGAGGCTCTGTTAGGTACAGACATGGAGAATGAGTCCAGAAGACCCTGACAGGATAGCCATCACTCTAGGAAAGTTCCAGTGCTATATGCAACCTATAAGGCATCTTGCTGACAATGGGACTTGAGGTTGTGGAATGAAACAGGAGTCGATCCCATTTTCTACTCTTCTCACCAAGATAATTGGCTCTGGTGTAGGAGCCCCAAGTAGGGTTAATTTTGAAAATTTACATTTTTCACACAGTTTTGTTATGACTTCTCATTTGGATGCTCCTAGTGAAAATGCTTAGCTGGAGGGAAATGACTGGACTAGCGCTCTTTAGCAATCAGAGTGGGGCGCACAGCCCCCCAGCACTCCTCTTCGGTTTCCCCAGTTTCTCTTCAGTAGGGAGGTCTCCCAAATGTGGAAATGAGATTGTTCATCATAAAAACCTATTTATTTTGTTTACTAATCATTATCCTCATTTTTTACTTTTTAGAGGTATATTGTCCAAGACCAGAGTTTGAAAATGTTGTAATCATTCAACCTAAAGAAACTTATTTCTATGGTGATGTAGTATCATATATGTGTCATGACAACAAGATGTTTTCAGCTGTATGCAAATCAGATGGCACATGGCAACCACGAAAGCCATCATGTGATCACAGTAAGAACTTTTAGAACTGGTATTGGGGGGGGTTCTTTATATCAATGTGACGGAGATTATTAAGAGAAGCTGCTGAGGCAGGAGGATCAAGAGTTCAAGGCCAGGGCTAGCCTGGGCTACATAGAAGGCTTTATTTCAAAACACACACACATACACACAAGCATGCACACCAAGAGAGGCTTAAAATTAGGTGAAGGAATTTACATACTCTGCATGATTCTTAAAATATACCCAACTTTCTCTTTCTCCCCCATGATTTGCTTCTTCCCTCTCCTTGAGGTTTCCTCTTATTTTCTGAATCAACGTGAATAGGTCACATTTTTTTTAGTATATATTAATCATATAAAGAGGTTTCATTATGATATTTCCATCCATACATGTAATGTACTTTGATCATTCCACCCCCTTGATCACTCCTTCTTATTCTCACCCTGTATATCATTTTAGTGGGTTTCATTATATTCTGTTTTTATCCATGCACATAATGTACTTCAATCATATTCATCCCCCATCACTTGCTCCTTTTGTCCTCCCCATCCTGTTCACTCTCCTTCCAACACATCCCTTTTTGCACTAATGACATGTTTTCCATTTTTAAAGGTCTAAATTACACATGTGATAGAAAACAGGTGTATTTGTCTTTCTCAGTCTGGCTTAGTATGTTTAATATGATGGTCTCCAGTTCCATGCATTTTCTGCAAATGACATAATTGCATTCTTCTTTATGATTGAATAACATTCCTTTGTGTATATCTGCCACATTTTCTTTATCCATTCATGAGTCGATGGACACCTAGGCTACTTACATAGCTTGAATATTGTGAATAGTGCTGCAATAAACATGGTGTCCCTACTGTATGCTGACTTATTTTCCTTAGGATATATGCTTGGAGTGGAAAAGCAGGATCATGTGGTAGTTCTATTTTTAGTTTTTCTGAGGAATCTCTGTATAGATTTCCAAAGTGGCTGCACTAATTTACATTCCACAAACACTGTGTGAAGATTTGTTTTCCCCACATTCTCTTCCGCATTTGTTGTTTTCTTGATGATAGCCATTCTGACTGGGGTGAGATGGACTCTCAATGTAGTTTTGATTTGCATTTCCTTTATGACTGAGGATGTTGAACACTTCTTCATGTATTCATTGGCCATTTGTACTTTTGAGAACTGTTTGTTCGGTAGTCCATTTATTAATGGGTGACTTTTTTCTTTTGATGTTCAATTTTTTGAGCTCTTTTTATATTGGGATATTAATCCCTTATTTGTTGAATAGGTAGTAAAAATCTTCTGTCATTCTGAGGCTGTCTTTTCAATCTGGTAATTGTTTCATCTGATGTGCAGAAGCTTTTTAATTTGGTGCAATCTCATTCGCCATTTTTTATTTCTACTTCCTGAGCTATTGGAGTTCTTATTCAGAAAGTCATGGCCTATGCTTATATCTTCAAGTGTTTCCTCTATTTCTCTTCTAGTAGCTTTAGTGTTTACATCAAGGTCTTTGATCCATTTTGAATTGATTTTTTTGTACAAGGTGAGAAATAGGTGTCTAGTTTCAGTCTTCTACATGTGGATATCCAGTTTTTCCAATAGCATTTGTTAAAGAGGCTGTCTTTTCTCCAACATGTTTTGGAAATGGTCAAAAACAGATGGCTGTAGCTCTACGGGATTATTTCTAGGTCTTCTATTCTGTTCTATTTATCTACATGTCTGTTTTGTACCAGTATGGTGCTCTTTTTTGTTCCTATGGTTCTGAGTATAATTCGGGGTCATGTATTGCAATGTCTCCAACATTACTCTTTTTGCTCAGGATTGCTTTGGCTACACAGAGTATTTTATGCTTCCATATGAATTTTAGGATTGATTTTTTTTCTTTTTCTGTGAAGAACGCCATTGGAATTTTGGTGGGAATTGCATTGATTCTGTAGATTGCTTTCGGTAACACAGCCATTTTCACAATATGAATCCTGCTGATCCTTGAACATAGGTCTTTTCATCTTCTTGTGTCTTATTCAGTTTCTTTCTTCAATGTTTAATAGTTTTCATTGTAGAGGTCTTTCACCTCCTTAGTTAAGTTTATTCCAAGGTATTTTTTGAGGCTATTGAGAATGGATTCTTTTCCTGATTTCTTTCTTGGCCTATTCACATATAGAAAAGCTACTGATTTTTGTATGTTGATTTTGTAACCTTCTACTTTGCCAAAAGTGCTTATCAGACCTAAGAGTTTTTTGGTGGAGTCTTTAGAGAATTTTAAGTATAGGATCATATCATCTGTATATAGTGATAATTTTACTTCTTCTTTCCTTAATTGAATCCCCTTTATTTCTTTCTCCTACTTTGTTGCTCTGGCTTGAATTCCTGTGCTATATTGAGTAAGAGTCAAGTAAGCCAACTTGATCATGGTGTATGATCTTTTTAGTGTATTTTTAAATTTAGTTTTCAAGTATTTTATTAAGAACTTTTGTGTCCATATTAATCATGGGAATTGATCTATAATTTTCTTTTTGTTATTATTGTGTCCTTATCCAATTTTGTAGCAGGGTAATAATGGTTTCATAGAATGAATTTGGAAGTGCTCCTTTTCTATTTTATGAAATAGTTTGAGGAGCATTGATGTTATTTCTTCTTCAAGGTGTGGTAGAATTCAGCAATGAATCTGTCTGGTCCTAGACTTTTCTTTGTTGGGAGACACTTTAATTCTGCTTCAACCTTGTTGTTTGTTACAGATCTCTGTTTAAGTTGCTTATTTCCTCTTGGTTTAATTTTGGTAAATTGTATATAGAAATCCATTGCTTCTAGATTTTCCAATTTACTGGAACAAAAGTTTGCAAAAATATACCCTAATAATTCTCTGAATTTCATTGATATTTATTAGAATACTCCTTTTCTTTTTTTTGGCACTATTGGGATTTGAACTCAGGGCTTCACACTTACTAGGCAGGCACTCTTACTGCTTGAGCTACTCTCCCTGCCCAAGATATCCCTTTTCATCTGTAATTTTATTAATTCATGTCTTCTCCCTTTTTTTTTTTTGTTATTTTAGCTAAGGGCTTGCTAATGTTGCTTATCTTTTCAATGAACCAACTCTTTGTTTCATTGACTCTTTGTGTGTCTTTCTTTTCATCACCATTTCACTAATTTCTGCCCTGATCGTTATTATTTCTTTCCATCTACTGCTTTTGGGTTTAGCTTGTTTTTGTTTTTCTAAGAACTTGTGGTGCATCATTAGTTTATTTGTGAACACTCTGATTTTTTAATGTGGGAGATCATAGTACTGCCTTTGCTGTGTCCCAAAGGTTTTGATAAGTTGTGTTTTCATTTTCATTTGATTCTAAGAATTTTCTAATAACCCCCCAATTTCTCTGATGATCAAGTCACCATTGAAAAGTATATGTTGTCCAATTTGCATGTGCTTGAGTATTTTGTGTGGTTTCTCTTGCCATTGATTTCTAGTTATATTCCATTGTGGTCTGATAAATTACTGGAAGTTATTTCAGTTTTTCTGTCTTTGTTAAGAATTGCTTTACAACCTAAAATGTGGTCTACTTTGGAGAAATTTCTTTGGACTGCTGAGAATAATGTGCATTCTGAAGTTGTTGGGTAGAATATTCTGTAGATGTCTGTTAAGTCCATTTGATTCATGGAATGATTTAACTAAAGTTTCTTTGTTGAATTTTTTTTTTGTGTGTGTAGATGACCTATCTGTTGGTGAGAGTAGGGTATTAAGGTCATCCACTATTATTTGTTGGGGTTTGTGTTTTTATGTCCAGTCATGTTTGTTTTGTGGAATTGGGTGCACTAATGCTTGGTGCTTATGTGTTTGCCATTGTTATATCCTCTTGATGAGTTGTTTCCTTTATCAATATGAAATGAACTTCTTTGTCTCTTCTGACTAGTATTGGTTTACAGTCTACTTTGTCAGATATTAGTATAGCTATTCCTGCTTGCTTTTGAGCTCCATTTGTATGCAATATCTTCTCCATCTTTTACTTTAAGCATATTTTTCTTTGCCAGTAAGGTACATTTCTTTTTTCCTTCCTTCCTTCCTTCCTTCCTTTCCTTCCTTCTTTCCTTCCTTCCTTTCCTTTCCTTTCTTCTCTTCCCTTCCCTTCCCTTCCTTCCTTTTGTCTCTCTCTCTCTCTCTCTCTTTCTGGCAGTACTGGGTTTTGAAGACAGGGCCTCATGCTTACTGTGCAGGTCTTCTACCACTTGAGCCATGCCTCCAGCCCTTTTTTCCTTTAGTTATTTTTTGGATAAGGTGTTATATTTTTGCCTAGGTCTGGACTTGGACCATGATTTTCCTACCTATGGCCTCCTACATACCTGAGATTATAACCATGTACCAGCATGCCTATCTTATTTGTTGAGATGGGGGTCTCCCTAACGTTTTCCCTAGGTTAGCTTCAAACTGTGATGCTCCCATTCTCTACAAAGTGTGCTTCTTGTCAGTTGCATCTGTTGTTTTTGTAATGTTTGAGTCTTTCCTAATCCTCATTTCTTTATCTATTCATCAAATGAGATTTATTCTTTTCAGTTTTTTCATGGTTGTGTTTATCTTCCTTTTCTGTGTGTAGGATTCCTTTAAGTATCTTCTGCAGTTCTGGATTAGTGGTCATGAATTCCTTTAGTTTTTGTTTATACAGAGGATTTTTTTTATTACTCCTTCAATTATGAAAAATAGTTTTTCTTGATACAGAAAACTAGGCTGACAATTATTTCTTTCAGGGCCTGAAATACATCATTACATGCATTCCCCGCTTTTAGAGTTTCTATTGAGAAATCTGTTTTTATTCTGTTGGGTTAACCTTTGTATGTGACTTGGTGTTTCTCTCTTATAGCTTTTAATATTCGTTCCTTACTCTGTGTACTCAATATTTTATCTATCATATGATGTGGAGAGGATCTTTTTCTGGTCTTCTCTAGTGTTCTAATGGCCTCTTATAGATAGAAGATGGCTGTATGACCATCTCTTTTTCAAGATTAGGTAAATTTTCTACTATTTTTTTTCAAAGTTTTATATGCCTTTAACTTGCACTTCTTCCTCTTCTATGCCCATGACACACAGGTTTGGTCTCTGAATGGTGTTCTGTTTGTACTTTTGTATTATTTTTCCTTATCATTGTCTGAATGTTGTAATTCATCTACCTCATCTCATGCTCTGATATTATGTCTTCTGTTTAATCCAGTCAGTTGGCAAAGCTTTTAACTGAGTTTTTTATTTGACTTATTGAGCTTTTCATTCCCCAAATTTCAATTCAATTTTTCAGGATTTTTATATCTTTATTATTGTAATCCTCTTTGATATCCTGCATTGGTCCCCTTATTTCACTCACCTGTTTATTTGTATTCTCTTGGAATTCACTCAGGTGTTTATTCATAACCTCTTTAATTTCATTGATCATTCTTATAAGTATTCTTTTGGATTCTTTGCCAGAGATTCACTTCACTATCATTGGAGTATAATATTCTGGAGCTGTTAACTTTTGGAGTAGTCATGTTGCTTTGCTTCATTATAGTTCTTATATTTCTGAATTAGAACTTGTGCACCTGAGGCCAGGTTGTAGTTGGAAGTTTTAATCATCTGTATCAATTTAGTCAAAGTATTCTCAATGTTCAGGCAGGACTGAGTACTGGCAGTGTGACATGCAGTTTCTTATGACCAGGCTTGGAGTATAGCTCAGTAGGCAAACATTCAGGCACACATGTGCAGGGCAATTGACTCTATCTGTTGTACTATACAGAGAGAAGAAACCTAGCTGGAGTTTCTGGTAGTTCCTAGTGTACAGTTGGTGCTGTGTGTGAGTTGAGGGTGGGGATGGTCAAATGTCAGTTTTCTGCTGCAGGACTGCTTTCAGTTTAGAAGCTTCCCTTCTTTTTGTATTGGGAGGCGTTGCTCCACAGACCCTTAGTTTTTGCCCCCAAGGTCACTTTTTCTCTCCTCCCATACAATCTTTAATTATTTTATTTCAAACATGTATACTCTGTACTTTGATCATATTTATCCTTCTGTTGTCCTCTCCTTTTGCTATTCCCCTTCCCCCTTGTTCCCCTCCAACACCCCCCTTTTTCACTCATATTATTTTTTCATTTTTAAAAAGATACAGATTATGCATGTGAGAGAAAACATGCAATATTTTTCTTTTTCAGTCTGGCTTATTTTGTTTCACATGATGATCTCTAGTTCCACCCATTTTCCTGTAAATGACATAATTCCATTTATGTTTATGTCTTTTTTTAATTTATAGAATACTTTATTAGATTCTGTAATCAAACCCACATAGATAAAGACCCTACATATTTAATTCAGTGTGTTACCCCTGTATGAATGGGAAAAGTTAATCTTAATCTTTCTAGACAGATATGGCTATTAATTTCTGTACAATGTCAACTCAACATGGCAAACTGGGATAATTTTTCCAACTTGACAGCACAGCTAAAGTTTCCAAATACTCAAATTATTTATATGTTTATATATATTTATATAAAATACCAATAATAGCAGTATGTATGTATCTATAGCAGCAACAGCTTTTCCAGATTCTGCAGTCCTGTGAACAAAATTGTCGAGACATCCAGCACACTCTGTTAGAAAAAACGAAAATGTAAAAAATAAAACCCCAGAAATGTTTATGTCTTAATAGTACTCCATAGTGTATATATACCAAATTTTTCAATCCATTCATCCATTGGTGGGTACCTAAGCTGATTCTATATCTTAGCTATTGTGAATAATGCCATGATAAACATGGGTGTCCTTGCAATGCATTACAATGTTGCATTCACTTAGCTTCTATGACATATAAGCACTTCTTTTTATTGCTATTGGTGAATCTTGTACTTTAATGGACTTTCCTATAATTATCTCTGGTGTTTGATGCTGGTGTTCCTCTTATAAGAATTCTTTTTTTTTTTACATTTCATTAGCATATACTAGTTGCACAAGGGGGATTCATTGTGACATTTACATATGTGCTTGCAATGTTTCTTAATTAGATTCAACCCTCCATCATTCTCCCTCTTTCTTTTCCCTGCCTTCTTAGAACAGTTTAGAACAATTTCAACAGGTTTAATTGTTGTGTTTTGATACATGCATGTAAAGTACATCCACCATATTTGTCCTCCTTCACCCGCTCCATTTACCTACCCCTGGACAGGACCTGTTTTACTTTCCTATCCTTCATTTTTTAAGTGTGTATTGATTGTTCAAAGTGGTTTCTCCTTGGTATTACACACACACACACACACACACACACAGTACTTTAATCAGATCAACCCCTGTTACTTACTCTTTATCACCATGATCCCCTATTATTCAACAGTTCTCAGTACATTTTGTTCTACTATCTTCATACATAGATGCAATGTATTTCAATATTATTCACTGTCTATCATTTGTCCTCTCTCTCTTTAACTGAACAATCCAAAAGTTTCATGGAAAATATTTTGGTGTCCTTTCTATATCTTGGCATTTAACATGGAATTGGTTATGTGTCAATTTTGAATGTGACTTAGGAGTAAATCCAGTCTTTATGCAAAAATGGTCCCCAAACAATATAAAGTTGAATGAACTGTCAATAAACTGAAGGAAGACTTGAGGGGTTTGTGTTAGTCAGCTTTCTGTCACTCTAATGAATACTTGAGACAACTAATTTATAAAGAAAAAAAGGTCATTTTGTTTCATAGTTTTGGAGGTTTTAGGCCATGACCTGTTGATCCTGCTGCTTTGGACCTGTGCCTAGGCAGCAGTGTGTAATAGAGCAAAATTGCTTATACCATCATGAGTCAGGGAGGAGAGAGAGAGAGAGAGAGAGAGAGAGAGTGAGAGAGAGAGAGAGAGCCCCTTCAAGGGTACAATGCTAATGTCTAAGAACTCATACATTGCTACACCTCTTAAAGGTCTCACCAACTCCCAATATTGCTGCCCCAGGGAACCAAGCCTTTAGTTTTGGGGCCACTTTTGGAACTTGAACATCCAAATTATAGCAGCTTGTGTATTGTGCCTTTCTAGTGCTTAAACATGAAACTTAAAGGAAGGCTGCTATGTGCAAGGGTTTAACCAAATGATCTTATAAGCAGAAAAGACTTCTCCAAACCACACAAATTCTGGGATGTACTATTTCACACATTCTACAGGATCACACTCTCTTGCTTTTTTGTCTTATTATTAAGATTGCAAGTTTCCTCCTAAAATTGCCCATGGACGTTATAAATTGAATTCAAATTTCTTTGGAAGTGAGGCCACATATGAATGCGATGAAGGATACACTCTGGTTGGAGAAGAGAAACTCTCCTGTGATTTTTCACGCTGGTTACCAGCAGTCCCTCAGTGTAAAGGTAACTGCTTTCGTTTCTCAGCCCCATGACAAAGTAGGTAGAACAGTCACGAGAGGATCAAGGGCAAAGTTCTTCTTGGCTAGTGGCAGTACAAAAACACCTGATTTTATTTTATTTATTTTCAATGATTAATATATGCAGTTGGTACCTCACACAAGAAGTACAAAGAACACAAACATTACTCCCCCTCTACTTCTTTTTCCTAGTCACCAAATTCAACCTTCTTGAAGCAGCTTTTATCGTAAAAACATCAGTGTTTATGATTGTACTGTGGGCCTGTGTAACATCTTCAATGAAGCTTGTTTTAGCATGAACATAGGCTCTCCTGGGCTGAATCCGAATGCCATAGAGACAAGTCTTTCTGTTAGAACCTCCTCCTGGACACCATCGTGATGTGGACAATGTGTGTCGAGGAGACTCCTAGTGCCAACTAACTGTGGGAACAGGAGTAGTCAAGATTGGGTATATATTTTTTCATGTATACAATAATAATATTACCATATTAACAATAACTTGGGATTTATTTGGAACCATTGTCTCCATTCCACACAGATAAAGTTAGAAAACTTCATGCCTAGACTCTTAGTGTTAATTTGCTAGCAGAGAATCTGGGTTCTCATCCCTTAAAAAATAAATCCAGTGGCTCACACCTATAATCCTGACACTTGGGAGGCTGCGTTTGGAGGATCAAGATTTGAGGTCAGCCCAAATAAATAATTCCCAAGACCTCATCTCCAAAATAACCAGAGCAAAATGGACTGGGAGTGTAGTTCAAGTGGTCCAGCACTTGCTTTGCAAGCATGAGTTCAAACCCCAGTCCCAGCCCCAAAGAAATCCTATCATTTTATTTAAGTATGTTATAAGCATGGGCAAGTTTCTTACCGTCTATGTCTCTAAACTGTCTCCTATATAAAATGGGATAAATAGAATTCACTTCATAGGACGTTGAGAGTTAATTGATATTGTCACATGATGAGTCAATGCCCTGTATAGCTATCCTTATCTCAACCAGCAAAAACCCTTGTTCCTTCCTATTATTGCTTATACTCTCTCTACAACAAAATTAGAAATAAGGGCAAAATAGTTTCTGCTGGGTATTGGGGCGGGGAGAGGAAGGGGGGGAGTGGGTGGTAAGGGAGGGGGTGGGGGCAAGGGGGAGAAATGACCCAAGCCTTGTATGCACATATGAATAATAAAAGAAAAATGAAAAAAATAAAATAAAATGTATGTAATATATGTTATATATGCATATTATATATGTAAAAAAAAAAGAGATTGTCACATGAAATGCTCAGTCCTCATTCTCAATAGCAATAAAAATGTCAACCAATATTATTGTTATCAGAATGAAAGAAAACTAGAAGAAGAATTCTCACTTAAATATAGTTTATTCTCACTATCCTAGACTCCTTTTTTGTCTAGATTTACAGATTACCTAAAAATATGTTCCCATTATAGCTCGGTGTCTGAAACCAGAGATAGAAAACGGAAAGCTGTCTGTGGATAAGGAACAGTATACTGAATCTGAGAATGTCACCATCAGTTGTAACTCTGGCTTTTTAATGGTGGGTCCCCAAAGTATTGCTTGCTCAGAAAACGCAACCTGGTATCCACAGGTGCCCACATGTGAATGGGTAAGTGGCACAACTTAAGCAAGTTCATGCAGTCAAACCCTAAAAATGGTGTTCCCCCTCTTCTCTTTCTTTTTCTTCTCTTCTCTCTCTCTCTCTCTCTCTCTCTCTCTCTCTCTCTCTTCCCTTTCTTCCTCCCCCTCTCCTTTTCCTTCTCCCTCTCCCTTTTTCTTCTCTGAAGCACTCTGGTGAGTTGGAAGTGGCAAGTTTTTCTTCTGTCAGTTAAGAATAGGAAAAACTAAGCCCCTTTGAGAGCAGGGTCCCATTTACCTGGGAGAATGACTTCCTAGACCATAATTGTATTGCTGTTCAACTTCTGGATGGGCAGCAGAAGAGTCTCCATCACACCCTCCACCCACATCTCTTTCAGGAGGTCCTTGAAGGCTGTGAACAAGTGCTCAAAGGCAGGAAACTCACACAGTGTCTCCCAGACCCAGACGCAGTGAAAATGGCCCTGGAGGTGTATAAGCTGTCTCTGGAGATCGAGCTACTGGAACTAGAGAGAGACAAGGCAAGACAATCAGTCCTGAAGTCATCACTGTGATTTTTCCCAGAAGGGAGAAAGAGGCATCAGGCTAGTTTGCTGGATTCAATGCATACAGATCACTTCAGCTTAGCACCTCTTTTTCACTTTGACACCAATATTCATGATAATAAAAATCTAGAAAGGATGATTAAGCTTTAGTGCTTTGAGATTGTGAAGCTATTGATCATCTTATTGCTCATATTTTTGCTTTTCTGGATGCAAAGTATACATTTTTTCAATTAAAAATTTATATGTCAAAAATCTGTTTCTATGGTCATTTAGTCCTCTCTAAAGTGAACACATTTACTTTACTGAATAGGCTGTGAAAACATGTACTTTGGTTCACACCAAAGTGTCCCTTTACTCTGCAGTTCCCCTTGTGCAAATCACCCAGATTCTCAGAGGTCAAACAAAATGTTAGCACTTGTCACCCATCAGCCCTGTGCAGTCCCCCATTGGAGGGAGTCCAGCCCTACCCCCTGAACTCCTGTGCACATTGTGTCTTTCACTCATGCTATATCTTACCTGTTTCCCTCCATGAAGGAATGTTACATTTGTGTCTAACCTCCTAATTCCAGTCCCAGAAAAGGGACCCCAATGAAATGATGAATGTGAAGTCTAGGTGACCCACCTGTGTATTTCCAAGTCTTCCATATGATTTGGCCACCATTTTCCTTTATATTAAATTAAAATGGTTTGAATGCATAAGGAGAAAACCCTTATCAGTGTCACTTATATCTCTGGATACTTTGGAAGGTTTTATTCCTTTCAGGAGTCACTTTCTCAGATTCTTGTTTCCTCTGAAGTCTCTTTCTCTCATCTCAGTGCCTCCTGCTGTCTCTTTTCCTTTATACAGAAGTCTGTGGTGGGGGGATGGGGGAACACTGGCTCCTTTGATTTAATTTCCACAACATACAGCGAGGAGGCTGTGGTGTAGAGCAGGTTTCACTGACCCTTATATGTAACAGAGGGGCTTAAACCACTAGAGAATCCACCTAACACGGAAGGTATCTATCTGTCTACCACCACAAAAGCCATTATCTATTAGGCTGCTTGGAGTTTTTTTGTTTGTTGTTGGATGTTTATCTTTGGGTTTCCCTTGAGATAAGGACATAAGGACAACTAGTTTCATTGAAAGGTGGTTCTGGAAAGCACTGTGAGCCAGTGGGTAGTAAGATGAAATAAAGTGAGCTAAAGAGGGACTGTTTGGAGGGGGTTATTACCGTTGCTCACAAGGACTTGCTCATCCTGACAGCCTTTTAGAACTGAGTTGCCCTCCTGAGGATGAGGACCTGGAGTATTTTATACCAATTTCCTTCCCTTGCTGCTGAATATCTGCTCCAACGACACCAACTCTCAGGCACAAGGGACCCCCTACTGTGGGCTTGGACCAGGCTCCAAGGGCAAGGATCCCCACCAGGCAGAGATGGTGCAGCCACCAGTACCCATAAGGCTGCTTGTAGTGACCTCCAAAGTAGGCAAAGGGCATAGGACCAGTGGACAGATGGCCTCCTCTAGAGTCACCTTTCCTGTGTGGTCCCATTAACTGACATGTTGATCTAGTCAACCATTCTCTCCCTTCATTAATGTCATTTCTTGTCAGATCTCTGGGTCATTGTGCCTTCCTTCCATTGCTCTGACATGATTTCCTTCACTTTCGTAGAGTGAGCGATCTAGTTTCCATCTTCCCTTGCACTCTGGGCCTGTAGTGATTTCTCTTGTGACTGATTTCTCGCAAATAGAATATTTGCCAAACTTGTCTTCTAAACAACTTAGCTAAAATTTACTAATAACTCAACAATCCACTAAACATTCTTGATTTCCTCTTTTGGATTCTGGGCATGAGGATGCTTCATGAGCCCCAGTGGGGTCTCAGACATTCTAGGAATAGCATGTCTTCTTTGATCTCATTGTTTAGATGTCTCACAGTATAACTTTCATCTTCTCTAAATTGTTCACTAAAAATATGATCTTAGAAGTGGAAATGATTATTAGGAATATGGCTCCAAAAAGTAGGAAAAGTTTGTTTAACCAGGTGCTCATTGATGGTTTGAGTAAGAAGCAGGAAGTAAGCCTGATATTTTATACTAAAAATTTAAAATAGTTTTTAGAACATACAGAAAGATAATCACAATTGGCTTATCAGGAGGTAGTCAGATGTAAAATATTAAAAAATAGCATAGGGCACAGGTTCCTGTTTGTAGCAGAGCAACTGTAAGCAAAGGAAACACAGATATCCGTTTTGCTTATGTCTACAACTTCCTTCTCTTTATTTACTTACATTGTCTGAAGGGGCAAGATAGGGTGTTGTCCAGTTCCTTGGTGTTATATGTGGATAAACATCTGACACTTACAGTTTCACTCACTTGCTTCTGCTAATTTTTGCTTGTCTGTAACTAGAAAGAGATTCTATACCCACCTCCAGTCCTCCTGGCACTAAACATCACACAGAAATATCTTCATTCATTAAATAATAATTTTAAAAACATGACTTTGCTCAGTGCTGTGTGAATTAAGTTCCTCTTTCATTATTATTTTATATCACTTATTATTCCTGTCATATTTTATTACATTTACAGTGTAGTCCATGTTTTAGCCATAATAAAATCAAATCTTAATTTGTATTTGGTACTGTATAGTATCATTGCATACTTTGTGCAATCAAATTTACTAAGTTCATGAGGGTATCAGGAAACTAAATAGTAGATTAATAAAATTCACTACATAAAACTCTTGGTGAATATTAAGCTGTGGTCAAGAATGTTCCACTGATAGAGACGGGCTTGGATACTGGGATTAAGCGGGAGAGAGCAATTACTCTTTCTATTTCTAAAGGTATTTCATAAATATCTAAATTATTATGATTGGAAAAGTCACCTCCTACACCACCTTACTGGTGGATTAGGATGGGTAGCTAAGTGTGCTTGTGTTTTCGTATTATCAGTGTGCTCAGATAATTACCCACCTTAAGACTCAGTCTTTACTAGTATTGAAGAAATAGTGGGGGCTTTCAAATGCCAATCTTTTATATTTCCTTCCTTGTTAACTGTATGAATATACAGGTACAGTACTGAGTTAATTTTCACACTGATCTGAATTCTTTCTCCATTAAAAAATTTTTTAACTGAAACATCTTTAAAAAATTATCCAAAATAAATGCATGTATGTGTAAACAAATGCTCAAACAGTAAAGGCAGATACAGGTAACTAACCTCCATTGCATTCCATTTCCCCTTTCCTCTCCTTCCACTTTAAAATTTAAATTTCTTTAAAATATACAAAGATCAAAATTCCTTTTTTTTTTTGAGACAGGGTCTTATTATATTGCCCAGGCTGACCTTGAACCTTGTATTCTCCTCTCTTACCCAATAGATAGGATTACTGCATGTAATATAGTACCTCACTACATTTTGTATTTAAATTTTAACTTTTGTACACAATTTTATGAATTGCAAGGTTGCAAAATGGATCTATTTCTCAACCTAACAACTTAATGTTTAAAGATGTATCCATGTTTAACAAATTTTTGTACTGTCTGGACTCATACAATTCCCTTTTCCTAGTTCCAGAAAACCAGTCTTCTTTGGTAGCATCCCCCATACCCCCATTAAGTACATATGGAGTGTACTTAACTCCATATTTTTAGAAAACACATTTTTTTCTATTTTTCTTAAGTTGTCCATTTTAGATGTTATCAGTGATTATAGGAAAAGGTTTAATCATTAATACACCACCTGATTTCCCTCTTTCTTCCAGTGCTGCTATTGCACAATTTTGGCTAAATCAATAATAACTTTTATAACTATGCACTAAGCAGAAGTGTCTTCTGGGAGCATATTTCCTTTTTTTAATTTTTTTCTAATGTCTATAATGTCCTCTTTAGTGACATTTGTTTGCTTACTTGCTTTGTTTCCATATATTTCTGTTTCACTTCTTCCTAAATGTTCCAAAAGATCTTCCAGTACACGAACATGTTCCAGTGTTTGGGCATCAGAGGCCTCATCAACCTCTCTTCTCCTAATGAATCTTCCTTCTGGAGCCTTCCATTCTCACACTTGGTCTTAGCTTGAGTGTCCCCAGAAACAGACCTTGGACAAGAATTAGCATGTGAGTAGGCTGTTTGGGAAGAGAAGGAAACACCAGGAAAAGAGAGGGCAGGAGACAGGGAAGGGAAGTCATTTCAGAAAGACTGGTTATCAAACCAGTTAGGATGATTAAGCTTAATCCCAAGGGAAATAGGTAAAGATACTGAAATCACATCTCAAAATCTCACACCCAAGAATGGGGAGCTGGGTAATTTTGCAATAACTTCTACCCATTTTTAATTGAGGACTACTTCTGGGAAGTGTTAATTATCTTCCTTTTTTTCCCCCTGCTACATACAAATCAGGGAAGTTTCCTTGGTTCTGGAAAAAGCTTGGATAAAATGAAGCAGACCATGGGGAGGTGCAAGATGGGAACATATGGCATTTTTTCATTATATTGTGGATATGGCAGAGACTGCTAATTGTTTTCCTATATTAACCCTACTTTTACTGTAAGATGCAGAATTATGTCTGCCATTTAAAATATCAGCAGGGTCCATGGCTTCTCAGTGAGACCTTCTCTTGAAGTAACCAACAAATGTATGCAACTTTCTGTGCACTTTCTGAACAGGGTAGTTGCTTGCTCTCCTCTTCCTTTTTCCTTCAGCTAGGGCTGGAATGCTGACAGAGTACTGGGGAACCAGTTTGCATCATGTTGAGGAGGATAGCTTCCAAGAAAGTGTTGAAGCAACAAGGAAAAGGCTCTCTGGTCAAACATGTTGGGTGGTTCCATTGAACATCCTGAATTTATTTTGTTTTATTGCCTCTGAAGTGTCACATGAAAAAAAACCTAGTTTCAGTTACTAAGGTTTTAGATGTCCTGTCCCCCAACAAGTGCAGGGACAACAATCCTCAAATACGAGTGACTATTTGTGTATCTATTGTCTTACTGTCTAGTTTCTCCAGAGCCTCTGCTCTTTTGTCTGGTTATAA